ACAAAATTATCTGACACACTGATACAAACTCAGCTGTAATACCATGGGTCGAAAGTTCCTACTAAAGATAAGTTAGTGGTAAGAGGATTGTGGTATTTTTTATGTAATTTTGGATGAAACGAGATGCATACCTGCCAACTTTTAATCCCTTCCATTATAATTTTTCATAGTGGTAGCAAAATGGAATTAAAATTTTGATTGTAAGCAAAAAAATAAGCTATATTTGAAAAATCTTTAGCTGACAATCATGAATGCATATTAATATATATGCTTGATTTTTTTTAAGAATAGTGGTGGTTAAAATCATTTTAAAATTAATTTTATAAAAGACAAATAGTATATATTTACTACCACTTTAAATATAAAAACAACATTTTACGCCAAATGCGTAAAAGTTGGCAGGTATGGAGATGTTATAACTACTTCGTAATACAGGTGGTAATCAAAATACCAATATTATACAGGGTGATTCTAAAAAGATGGGCAAAATTTTAGGAAGTGATAGTATACACCCAAGCAAACAATTTTTATCAAAGGATGCATGGTCGAAAACAAAACGCAAAGGTGCTGACGCATTTGGAAAGTTGTTTGATGCAAACGTGAAATCTCCATTCCTGTTGCGAGTTACTGCGCTCCGCTACTTGTCGCCAAGCTTTCGGCCGCTGCAGGGAAAGTTCGTGATGATCGCCTATCTTTTCTTCGCCGTTGTACTGCATGCATAGCCGCTGTCGGCCACTGTTTTGAACACTTATTGTAATCACATGCCATTACATTTGCTTTTATAACTTAACTTCATCGTTCTTTGTGTGCTTTTGCCTCATATAAGAACATAAACTTTGACGCCCTCTAGCGGTTTGTTTTCGACCATGCATTCTTTGATAAAAATTGTTTGCTTGGGTGTGTACTATCACTTCCTAAAATTTTGCCCATCTTTTTNTATAAACCTGCCTGTTCCCTTGAAAGTAACACTTGGGATAAAAAACATACTACCTTAATGCATCGCATCATAAATGGAAAAGTATAATCGCCTTCTTCCATCCACTCCTTATGCAGCAGAGAAGTGGAGGCACTTAGCATTCACTTGAGTGAATTTTAAAAAAATGACTGGTAAGGAATACATTATTGAATTCATAAAAACTGAAGGTTTGGGAGAGAAACTGATTGTAGACTTGAAATAAGTGAGCAGAATAAATCGCATGCAATATAATTTTTTTTTTTTTTTTTGTTCCTCGTTTTTATTTATGTTTCCAACATTAAGTAGAAACTGTTATTTATATATGAAGTTCCTCAAATGCAAGTGCGATGCCGAATTACAAAATATTTTCCGATTCAAAAAATTGTTATCCTCATTAATTCTAAACTGAAAACTTTTCGCTTTTTTAAGATTGCGATTGAAAAAAGAAGTGTTTTACTGTTCTCTTACATGCAAAATAATAAAATATATTTTATAAGAAACTACCAGTTTTTATTTTAAAGTTTAATTCATAAGATAATTTTTGCTCCTGATTTTAGTAAATTATGCTTTCCATTAAGTAAACATTTTAATGAAATAGCAGCTACTAGGGGTTGTGGTTGCTATAATTACAATAATGTAGAGATGAAAGAATCTTTACGTCCTCACTTATACAACTTTACTGTTTTATAAGAAATTTTTTTGTAGTGGTAGTAGAATGTGTTTTACCTCAAGGCATCGCGGTATATATATATATGAATGTTTGATAGTCATCTGGTAATATTTTAAGAGATAAATTGGAAAAAAGGTTGACTTTTATGGTTCTTTCGATTCCATTTTAAACATAAAATAAAATAGTTTCGATAAAATCGAAACAACAAAATTAACAATATAACACCAATTGTTACAAAATTCGTTGAAATAATTTGCCTGTAAAAAAATGTTCACCGCTGTCTGTAAAGAATTTAAATGATATACTGCGAATGACATATTACAATTGGTAACAAGCAATGATTAAAATTTTATTGACTTCGATTTATTTAAAGAAGGGTTCATTTTTACTAACTACTAATGGGACAGAATTCTTTTATTTTATTAATTTTATTTTAATCGTAATATGCACTTTTAACACGTTCACGCCGGGGTGACCCACCGGTGGGTCACTCTAGATTGTCTCATCGGGCGGCGCACCGGAGTAAAAACTGGTAACAAATAAATTTCATTTTTTAGTTTTTTTCGGGGAATAATAAAAATCCATAACTGCCAATTGTTTTTAACGGATGCAATTTTTATATTTAATTGCTTCTTCACCGTGATAAATTTCCTTACAGTGAATTGTTATTGTTGAGAATAGATTAACTCCTCCCGAATATTATCTAATATTGAAATAGTTCCTCTACCAGTATTTTCTTTTTTCCGTCCCGCTTTCAGGCGCAACACCCGGCGTGAACGTGTTAAATAACATAATTTAACAATACTTGGTTTGAAGGAAATATATCATTCATTGTATGAAGAAAATATATCGTTCACTATAAGTAGGAAATATATTTAGGAATTCTATTTGTTACAAGGGACTGAGGAAATTATAATTCCTACAGGAATGCAGTAAATTATTATAAAAGCCTAATAGAAAAGGAAAATAATAACTTAATTTTGAGTGCTGCTAGTCCATTCGGAAACTCTTGTGACATTTATTTTCTAGTAAGTCTTGGTACTAATAGGTTCATGCCTTGCGACGTTGTTGAAAGGTCGGTTTCTTCAATCAGGGCTAAAGAGAAAAAAGAAGGGCTAGTTCCTCTCTTATTAGAGCTGCAGCTACGATTTCCCTCCTCATGACGTCACGCCGCACACAGATCTCGAAGATCGCAAGCAAAGATATATGAAAACTTTGCATCATTCTCTCTGTAAAAATAACTTTTTCTTGATACACTTGACACATTATTTCAGTTCAAAAACATAGTTTAAAAAATTTTTCTTGGCCGTAATATTAAATTAAATACCATTTTAAAGTAATAAAAATATTTTACTAGTTATCGTAAATGATGCTATGAATACTTTATTTTAAAATTTTCAGTTTTAATTTTTATTGTAAAAAAAAAAACTAAAGCATATTTTGACACTTTTTTAGCAACATATTGTTCGATAACAATAATTTGTAGAGTTGGGTTAAATTAAAATCCTGATTTTTAAAATATGCTTGTTAATGACAGTTTATACTTAATCATTAGGAAACAACAACCTTCGCTAATTACTGAAACAAAAAAAATAATTTAGGTTCATAATAATATAAGAAATTTTACAAATGTTTACAGATATTAAAATTTAAAAGAATATAATTAAAGAAATAATAAATAATTAGAATAACTACCTGAAATTAAAAGAATTTTAACTATAAATTATTTATACTTTTCAATTAAATTATTATTCTCTTTGAGTTGTTCCATTTTTTCAGTTTTTTCGCCTTCCTTTCTTTTTTAAGTGACGAGGTGGTTTTTATTTAGATGGCGAATTCTTATTAAAGTTCTTAAACGACAGAATAAACGCACTGCTGTGCCGAGAAAAACTTGTTTAATTATAGGGCGGACCCATTCATTCATCTATAGATCGTAATTTTGGCCTGAATCATAGAACCATCGGTCTCCAATTCAGTACCCCCAGAGGTACGATTTATTATGGGAACATGGAGAACTTTGTGAACTGACAGATTTAACGCTCACCAGGATTTTTTATACGGATGATTTTGATTGAACATTATTCAGAGATTTCAGGGTGCCATACTATCAGCTGACAACTTTTCTCCCTCCTCCGTTAAATCGGTACCAAACTTATTTAAAAAATCAAGTTTTCTTCCGCTTTTAAGTCGAGCCCAATATAGTAAGGACTTTTCCACCAGTAATCTCATGAAATTATTTATTGTTGTTAATAAATCGTAAATTCAATGGAAACATAATTTTGTTGGCATCGATCGATTAAACTGCATCATAAGTTATTTACGATTCCACCAACTTGAAATCCACCGACTAATTTGGGACAAAATTTTCCATCTAAATGTAGCAACTAATATTCGACGGAGAGGTAATTTATAAAAGTTTTTTATTGCTGAACTCCATATTTGAAAAAGAATTGACACTAAACATTCTCCTTCAGAATAGATCTATTTGTAATACAGGATACATTTAAGTACTTAGTACAAAATTATCAGACACACTGATACAAACTCAGCTGTAATACCATGGGTCGAAAGTTCCTACTAAAGATAAATTAGTGGTAAGACGATTGTGGCGTTTTTTTGTTTAATTTTGGATGAAACGAGATGTTATAACTACTTCGTAATACAGGTGGTAATCAAAATATCAATAATATATATGTGATTATCAAAATAAGGGAAACACTTCTACACTAACGCTACGTAAAAGCTCTTTCTCTGAGCAGGAAATGTTTAGGAAGATTTTACTTGGCGAAATTGTTGGCACAATTAGGTACCTTTTTTAATTTTTTTATAGTTTGCTTCAACCGGCGCAAATATCAATACAGATTACAGAGGGGGGTCCGCCTTCTTTTTTTCGAATAATTTACGACTCTTCAGAATGATTGTGAAAAGCAAAGTTATTAGCGGTCGCAAATTAATATTTGAGTGAAGAGAAAAAAAAAAAACAGAAATACAATCGAAATATTTTGAAGCACACTTGGGGAAACCTTGATGTTGAACATCAAAACCAATTGGATTGTCCGAGGAATCTTGGCTGTTTTATAATCTCCTTTCAACTCTAAGTTTCCTTCAGAGTTTTAACAAGTTTTGATGTTTTCAGACCCACCTTTCTCGGTAGTTAGATTTTGATCTATTATTTTCTAGCTTAAATACTAATTTTTGACCGATTTTAAGCATAATTTTTACAATTTATTTTTATAAGGAATTCTAAATTCATATAGTAAGGATGGTCCTTACAGAAAATCTTATAAAACCAATTCTTTGTCGAAAAAAGCGAATTAAAATCTAAGTATAAGTTTAAATAAGTGTAGAAAAATGTAGTTTTTTTTCTTCTTTTAGGAGCCTCCTTCAGAACCTGTTGATGGACACCGAGGGGCAGTTGAACCACCCACCTATCCTCTCGTACCACTTCCTGGACCAAGGGTATGTATTGTAGTACCTTTAGAGATCTTATGTCTGTATTGTAGGAAAGAAATAGCTAAAGAAACTTACAAATATATTTAAGAGTATCTATAAGTATAGGGTGATATAGAGTATAGGGTGTCTCAAATTAAACTAGCAGTTTTTTTTAAAGCTGATGACAGAAAAATAATTAAGATTAAGGGGAAAAAATTAGGGCAAATTAATGTCGCGAGGCATTAATTTTTCTTTCCAGAGTTTCGAGTTTTAGTTCAAACATTTAACAACAGATGTAGTTGCGAAAAATTAACCTGCAAAATTAGAAAAAAAAAAAATAAGGAAACATCATATCTTAACATATATTTGTGGCTGATGGTCGATATTTTAAAAGTATTGAAATTGAATTGTCATCCATTTACTGATTTCGGTAAACTGTAATTAACAGTCCCCCAGTCGCCTTACAGTCATTGTGTATCTCCCTCAGAATTCTTTCAGTTACGCTCCTTGAAAACTTCCATGAAATATCATTCTTTTGGATGAATTTGCGAAGTTCGCTAAACTGTTACAATCTTTTGGAACAATTTACAACTTAGTTTCTTACAACTTAAATTCCTTAAATTAAATGGATCTGTTCCGCGACACAAAGCTTTAGGAGCCCGCTCCATTTTCTTCAACTTTTGAGAAGTTTTTAATTTTACTCTTAACGGTTTGTAAACGTTTAACAACAATGAAATTAACAAAAATTTTTACAAACCTAGGGAACATTCCTACTGAATATGGTTTGATCGTTCTACTTTAAGTGCACCAATCAAATTTTTAATTTCTAAATGTGCATTAGGATAATTTCTGAACGTTTTATTTTTAGAATAATTAATGTATTTAGAATAATTTCTAAATGTTTTATGTTTAGAATAGTTAATATGTTTAGAATAATTTTTAAATGTTTTATGATTAGAATACTTAATGTGTATAGAATAACTTCTAAATGTTTTATGTTTAGAATACTTAATATGTTCCGAATAACTTTGAAATGTTTTATGTTATTGTTATTAGTTATCTAAACACATTAAACTATTACAATGTTATTAGTTATTCTAAGCATATTAAGTATTCTAAGGAATACTTAATATGTATAGAGTAACTTCTAAATGTTTTATGCTTAGAATAATTAATATGTTTAGAATAATTTCTAAACGTATATATAATAATTTTTATTTTTATGAAAAAGTGATAAAAAAATTAGGTAATCAGGGCAGCGTTGGAAAATAATTTGTATTGAAATGAAAAGTTTGTTTTCAGAACGATGCAAAATCGTTTATTTATAACAAAAAAAGAATGCCAAAATATCGCCATTCTTATTTTGCGTTGAAAACCGATTTAACTTTTCAGTACCTTTTCAAACGCCATCGTCAAAGTAGCCTAGATTGGGCTCTAAGAACTCCTAAGAAACTGACCAAATAAATATACAAAAGCGGTGTTTATACTAAAACGTCAACCCAATATTTCACAGTCATTTTCATAACCGATTTAGGAAACGGCACTTAAAAAGTGTGTGTATTCTTTCAATTAAATCTCGAGTATTAAACGTCTAGTTCTATGATAATATAAATTTTTCATTAAAAAAATATTTAAGACTAATATTTTATGTTTTAAGCTTATCAAGAAATAAAAAGTTGTTTAATATTTTAGGGCACCCAAGGGGAACGAGGAACACCTGGATATCCTGGAGAAAGGGTAAGTTCATTATATATTTTTTTTTATATTGCAGTTAATATAGATTGAATTGATATTAGCGTATAGTTTGTCTACGGTACGAACTCCTCCCGCCACAAAGTCTGAGGCCGTCTGCTGCTATGGAAACAAGAATAGCTCATTTCAAGGAGAGTAGCTTCTCTTAACTCTAGGGCTAACACAAAAGACAAAAAAAATAAATAAATTCCCTTCTTCTTGCCGACCCGAGTCAGTCCTAAACCCCACACCCCTACTTGAAATAGATATACTTCGTTACCATAGTCACCGCCACAGGTCCAGACGAATATCTAGGGGAGTTCTTACTTTAGATCAACTATAGTTGAAGTTGATATTAGTGTATAAACATGAGTTTAATTAATTAATTTAACTAGAATTAAAATTTAATACATTACTTGCAGACACCTTTTGCCATGATTTTTAAAAATAAACTAGTTAACTAATAATCTAATTAATGTAACTAGGCTTCGAGAGATTTAAATTTAGAATTATCACCCTAGGGTGTAAATCCTGATTCTTTCTTTCTTAAAATAGTAATTGGAACAGACTGGTTATTTTAAATGTCTCAGACATTCCAAAGGTCCACCAAAAATCTATTTAAATTATTTATGTTAGGAGCTGGAAAAAATTCTTTCATTTCTAATATAATAAAACATAAATATATCAACCTTGCTTTAGGAAAAATAGCTTCAGAAACTACGGAAAATCTGTAGTAGTCTCTGATTTTGAGTATTGTCAAATTCAAACACCTGCCGCTAGGTTCTACATACAGTTAATCGCAGGACTATAGTATAGTAAAGCTAAATAGATAACCTTATAAAAAATGTTTTATTTATCTAGTTATTGTACTTTACCCTCTAATTTTGTACGGATTGAATAAATAAATGAATATATTAAAGCAATGTCAATAATTATTTTAATATTATATTCTTATCTAATTAACTTTTTGTGTTTAAATAATTAAAGGAACATAAGTAAAGTTTTATTGTGAAATAATATTAATTATTTGAAGAAAAAAAACTGAATCTGAAATTTTTAATTTAATCAAAGGCATAATTAACATCATTTAGCAAACGTTATTGCATGTTTAAGATAATTATTTTCTACATCTGAAATAGGCTTAGGATGACTAAAATATTATATTAGAGTAAAACTAAATCTAACTTTTTTTTATTATTTTTTACTAGGGTGAACCTGGAGAAATTGGTTCGCATGGAGTTCCTGGAAGACCTGGACCACCCGGCCCTCCCGGAGATGTAAGAAGTTATAACTTTTGGTGTTTAATTAAATTAGGAAACATAAATTATTAAATATAGTGTGAGAGAAATATAAAATATTTATGATATTAAGTAATTCTGTTATATTTTCTACCATTATTGCTATAATTGTTACTTATTTAAATGCAAATAGATACAATTTTTACTCATTTCTGGGGACGTAAGAATTTATAACTTTTGGTGTTAAAATAAATTAGGGAACATAAGTTATTAAATATAGTGTAAGAGAAATATAAAATACTAGGAGGTTTCGCCCCCTGCTCGCTGGCGCTCGCCAACCCCCGGAACTGCTTTCGCAGTTCATTTCGGATTGCTTCGCTATCTGATGCTCGCTTTGCTCGCTCATTGGATACGTTCTTAACGTCTAGCTTTTGTATACTTTTTTGAACACTGAAGTTCCGAAAACTTTTCACTGTAGAAAATTCTAAACCTGTGCATTTCAATATTAATTTGAAATTGCAAACAGTTCACATATTTTTCTTAATCACACTATTCTAAATTTCAGTTGTTGAGATAAGTAACTCAGTAACTGTTGTAAGTTTTGTTTTAAAGTCTTTTTCACCAGAGGGCTAAAACCATGTGTTGTAAAACAATATGAAATAGTATTGAACGCCGGATGTAAAGCATCGGCTTCGATGAAGATAATTTTGTGAGAATTTTTTTGATAATTCGGTGAGAATTCACCCGATTAGACATATGATGCTCACTACGTGCTCTTGCGCGCCGAAGCCTAATAATTAAAACGTATTAGCGTTTTATATAATATAGATTAGCTATATGATGCTCACTACGTGCTCTTGCGCGCCGAATCCTATCAATAAAAAATGAAAACTGTTGTCAACGCGAGAAAAGAAATATCATCGTACTTGATGCATACGTACGTATTAGCGTTTTATATAATATAGATTTATAATATTAAGTAATTCTGTTATATTTTCTACCATTATTGCTATAATTGTTACTTATTTAAATGCAAATAGATACAATTATTACTCATTTCTGGGGACGTAAGAATTTATAACTTTTGGTGTTAAAATAAATTAGGGAACATATGTTATTAAATATAGTGTAAGAGAAATATAAAATATTTATAATATTAAGTAATTCTGTTATATTTTCTATCATTATTGCTATAATTGTTGCTTATTTAAATGCAAATAGATACAATTATTACTCATTTCTGGGGACGTAAGAATTTATAACTTTTGGTGTTAAAATAAATTAGGGAACATAAATTATTAAATATAGTGTAAGAGAAATATAAAATATTTATAATATTAATTAATTCTCTTATATTTTATATTATTATTGCTACAATTATCACTCATTAATAAATGTTCCAAACTGAATCTAATTAATTAAAGCAAAAACTGTTTTCAATATATTGGGTTGTTCGGAAATCAATTTCTTTTTTTCTCAACAGAGAATATTTTCACACCCAACTTTACACTTAAGCCATATAATCATTTTATATTTTGACAGCTGATATTGCAAGGCTTGGTTGAGAAAAAGTTCAATTAATTAATTCTACGCAGCAGTGGATGATTGGTACACTTTCAAATATAGAAAGTCACAAGCAAAGTTTTCGGCTTATTTTAATTTTTCACTATCGAAAAAGTTAAAATGCTATTCAAACTGGAAAGTGATTATCCAATGTTTGTTGAAAAGCTGTATTGGCAGTAAGGTTCCGCAAAATTTTGATTAAGATGTACGACGGTGATCTACCCTAATTTAAGCTGATAACGATACAATAAGGGCTTTAATTGATGTAAGCTGGTAAATAACAAAACCCGAGATCGCTGATAGGGTTTACATTTATGAGTTGTGAAATAGGTTGAAAAAGATTTTTTTTTAAACGGTGAAACCTTTACTTCGAATGAGGAAGTTGAAAATCAATCATATCAGTTTTTTCCTTTTAGCTAACTAAGAACAAAAAATTTATGAGAGGGGAATCATGCTAATGGCAAAAGGCTTAGCAGAGATGCCTACTGCTTCGGACAAGACAGAAATAAAAATTAAAATTTGTAGATATTAGATTAATTTTGCCTATTATTTAGAGGTTCGACGACGATCTGGTAATCGATAACGTGCCTGGAATTTGCCTTACAGCAACTGGTACTTACGGCATTGATTAATTAGAGGCTGCCTTCTTCATCTGTTGATTTAGCCCTTGGGCAACTAAGACTTTTGGCATATTTAAAGGTTGAACAAAGGGCAGAGATGCCAACTTGCTCCGGACAGCAAATAAATATTTTAAAGTGGTAGTTTATGATTCTTAGTTTAATAAATTAAATTTAGTATATTTTTATCCTCCATTATTTCTGAATAATTCGTAGGCTTATATAATTCACCACTTCATGGTAGTTACGTTATGCTATACGTTTTAAAAAGAAAGCAAAGGTAGTCAATTATTTGTAAAATTTAGTTTGCAGTTATTTACTGTTTTTAGGATGATTTTGGCGTACCCGGAGCATTTCTTTGAGAGGGGCGTATTACTTAAACCTTTGAATTATTTCGAAATAGTGGTATGTAAAAATCTTATAAATTGAATTTATTAAATCAAGAATCATACATTAAAAATCTACCACTCGAAAATATTTATGGGTTGTCCAGAGCAAGTTGGTTTTTGTGTTCAGTGTTCAAAGAATGGCCATTATATGATTCAATAAAATGCTTATTCACTATAGGAAATTCGTCTTTTATTTTCATTAAAAAATATGAAATTACTTTCGGGATTTACTTCACATTCAAAGAACAGTTTGCAATAAAAGATATATTAAGTCGCTAAAAACAAACCAATTCATTTTAAAAATTAATAGACCTTCAGTATTTATGTGGATAATTTTTGAAAAGATATTTATTTTTAATATTTAGAAATTTTCTTTATTTACATAGATTTTTTAGAAGGCAAAACCAAAAACGAACCGATTTTTTTTTGAAAATTATAAAATATTCGTTATTTACATAGAGTTTTAGATTGGTTACTATATGAACAAGAAAAGAAATGTAATATTTTAAGAATGGTTATGATAAAAACATTTTTGTAATCATATCCTCAAAAGTTTTTAAAGAAAGCTCTCTTTTTTATATTCAGTATGGGGATAAAAAAGCGCTTTTTTTGTGTTTAATACGCCATTAGACTGTATTTCATTTCTGATAATAATTGTTTAAGTCCAATATATTAAACTTTTTTTTAAATATTGCATACTTTTTTTAAATTCATTTTTAAAAAAGTATGTAAAATCTATACTAAGATTGATCATTACAGAAACCGTATAGAATAATGAAATGAAGATTCGTTAAAAGATGGTGTTCTTATATTGTAACATAGAATTAAAAATGTCTTATAATTAATTATTTTTACATTTAGTATTATTAATTAAATTATTTGATTATTATTTTATATTATTTTCATAATATTTCATTTAATCGTGTATTCCTCATATTGAATATTAAAAAATAGTTTTCGCTGTTTACATTTGTAATTAAATTTAAAAAAATTTAATTTTTATTTATTGGATGAAATGCATTTTTGTCCTAGTTGAGCGCCTGGTTTCAAAGTCTGGCTGTGCAGCAGGGTCTTGGCGGTGAAAAGGGACCTCCTCCGGATGCATTTCAGTTCATGCAAGCACAAGTGGTACGTTTATATAATTCACCTAAACATTTTTCTTTTCATGGCTGCCAATTTTGGCGTTTTATCTCCCTGTAATATTTAACCTCTTCTGATATTATATATAAGGGGCATTCAAATGAAATCCGGTCACTAGTGTAAAGTAACGGTAACCATTTTATTAACTCACAAATGTAGTTATACAGAGTACACATACTCAAAAATAGTCGCCAAAACTGTTGGCACATTTATCCCATTGCGACACTAGCCGGTCAATTCCATCTTTGAAGAAGCTAGTAGGCTGCTGTCGGATACAGGCCTGGACCCAGTCACACACGTCGTCGTCCGTTGTGACTCAATGTCCGAATAAAGCTCCGTTTTAGAAGTCCAAAAACATGAAAGTCACACGGTGAAAGGTCTGGACTGTACGGTGGATGTTCCATCTTTGGTAGCCCGACTCGCCTGCATGTTCCGTAGTGAACGATAACTTGCGTGGCCACCTTCTCTTCGGCGTGCAAACTGCAACCACACCGTCTAGATGCAACGTCAAACGTTGCGCATGCGACAGTCTCTCTACCAATAGATTGTGCCGCCATAAACGCAGTTACGTGGCGCCCCATTAAGTCTAATGCAAAGTTAGAAGCACTGACCAGGTTTCATTTGAATGACTCTTATATTTTGAGTATACACTGTCAGAAAAATTCTTAATTTTAATCTCTTCAGTCTTGATGTATTTTAAATATGCAGTGTCAGAAAAATAATTCAGCACTCCAAAGTAATTTTAAAATACTTATCATTTTTCTTTAAGCCCTTTGATATAACCTACATCTGTATTGTTTTTAATATTCTTCTATATATTTACAAGCGGTCCGGTAGTTTATTTTTATTTTTTTAATTTTATTTATCTATTTATTTATTATTATTATTTGCGAAAATGGCCCCGAGTAGAAAATATAAAAGAAACTCTGCTTTTTAGAATTTATTATAAAAAGGTTAAATAATATTTTGAAAAATTATATAATTGTTTGATTATATTATAGGGCCCAGTTGGACCAAGGGGATCACCAGGGCCGGCAGGACCTTCAGTAAGTTGTTTATTTCATCTACATATTAAAATTTTTGTTTTCATCAGTACTTTTTCATTTTACTGTCATTTACAAATACGTATAAATTTGTTCTACATATGAACAAAGTTATAACGTGGTAAAAATACAAATAATGTCACACAAACATACATACGTACGATCGAAGTATCATTCTTCAATTGTCAGTAAATTATAATGTATTTATCAAAAAATAAAGTCATATTTTCTTACACAAACCGTTGCACCTTTTTCAGAATCAACACGGAGAAAGGTGCTTCATAATAGTACCGAAATAATCGACGTTCGTGTGACATTAATTGTGCTTTACGTTGTAACAGCTTTTTTCTTTTAAATAATAATTTCGTATGATTTTACGTTTTTAAGGGACCACAAGGTTTTCAAGGAGCTCGTGGTGAAACTGGAGAGCCTGGACCACCCGTAAGTAGCATTGAAATGCTATTATATGAAAATACTTCATATTTTTTGAATGATGCTTCATATCTATTGAAATGCTATTATATTAAAATGCTTCATATTTTTTGAAGTTATTAAGAAAACACTGGGGAGCGAATTTTTTGTTCTATTTATGCAAATGCTTGATTTTACTTAATTTGGGTGTGAGAATTTCAAATCGAATATTAGTTTTGTTCCTTAAGTTACAAATTTTTTTTAAAATGGCATTTTTAGTTTATTTAATGTTGAAATATACAATTTTAAAAACGTTATATACAACAGGAGTCGCATAAATGTTGCGACGAAATTTTGGGGGAGGTAGGGCGCATCATCAGGCGTAAAACTGCGTGGGAACCCATGCCCGACAATGTCGCAGTACCCAGCTGGGACTGTTTCCCTGTTATCTGAGTTATGAACCACAAGAAGAGACAGATCATAATAGGGAAGCGCTCATAGCGACGCATGACGGCATTTCCGGGCATGGGTTCCTATGCAATTTTGATCCTACTGATGTGCCCTGCCTTACTTAAAAGTTTGTCACAACATTTATGCATTCCCTATTAAATATTTTGTACATAGTACATTTCGACAAAAATATCTAAAAAAAAAACTAAATTTAAACTAAAAAAAAACATTTAAAAAAATGCAGCTTGGAACTAAACATTTTTAAAAAAAAATTCAACTTGGAGCTAAAGATTTAAAAAAAAATGCAAGCTTGAAATCTGCGATAAAAAAGTATTTGAGGTCTGTGGAAAAATTTCATGCAACAGAAAACAAAACAAAAAATTTTTCCCCGGTGTAATTAAAATAATAAATATGGATGTACAAAAAACTAAAAGTTTCTGCAATTGTTTCAATGTTTCGTTGACTTTTATTTATATTTTGATTTTAGGGTACTCTAGGGCTATCTGGAGAAAGAGGACTTCCCGGTCTTCCTGGTAAAGATGTAAGTAATATTACTATAAATTCTGGAAGAGTATTATATTAAGTCTGGAAAAGTTTAAGTAATTTTTTTCATTCACCTTTTTTTTCAACTCTAACTTCAGATTTCAATTTTTTTAAAAAGTTTTTTTTAATGATCTTGAGTTTTCTTTAAGCTTTATCACTTTCTTTGATTTTTAATAATGGTCTTTATATTTTATACATGTGTAACATAAGCTTTTACATCACAGTGAAAAATTTATTGAATGCTATTTATTTTGAGGAGATGATAAATGAAAAAGTGGAGCATCAAGTAAAACAAAATATTTCATTTCATATAAATTAATTTCTTTATCTAAATTATTAGGTAAATCAAAACTTTGAGCTGCGGACGCACAACCTAGTATTCGCATTTATCACACAGATCCTTTTTTCAAAAATTAGATAAAGTAACGTAATGACGCAAAAATCATAATATAATGCACAAATTTCATTTATAAATAAGCTCTGAAAATTTTATTTTTAATGTTTAGATTGTCAAATCCATGAAACCATTTTTACACAACTCGAATATAAATATCGTATTAAATTTTTAAAGGAACTGCAAAAAAATAATTAAAAAAAAACTTAGCAAATTTTATGCATGTATGCTATTTATATAAAACGAATATTTTGGTCATGAAAAATAAGTTTAAAATATTCTTTTACCAAGAAAAGAATATAACCAGTGTGTAATTATTTATATCGTGAGTTCTGAAACTTTGTAATATAGTAACTTAGGAATGAATAGACTAAATAAATTTATCTAATCACAATTTCTTTAGATTTTTCAAAAATTTTAACTTAGTAAATAATTATTCACTTTAAAATCTAATTAGAGGGAGACATTGGGCCAATTTTATAATTGTTTCTAACAGTACTTCTGTCTTTTTAGTTTTTAATTTGTAAATTTAAAACATATTGATATTCACTAACTTCTGAAATGAATGATCTATGGATGTAGAAAATATTATAGAATGGTATGCTTAAGCTCGGGCGATAGAAAAAAAAACATTTCTGACTCTATAATTGTAATTCGATTGGACAATAGCAAGTGACGTCATTGTAAGTAAATCGTGGCATTTATAGATTCAGAAGTCGATCTAGTTCTATACAAACGCGTGACGTCACTTACAAACATCCAATTAAAACTGATTTGAGCCACATAGTTAGGCGTTATCACTTCACTTCATTTCGAGTTGTAAATACTTAATTATCATTTCACTACCACTTGGAAATATCCATTTGGGAAAGAGTAAAAACTGACAGGTATAATACAGGGGTTAGAAAAATTTATGGGAACACTTCTATACTAACTCTATGCAAAAAAATTTCTTTTAGCAAATGTTTTGGAAGCTTTTACATGGCAATACAGTTGGCACAATTTGAAAGATCAAGCTTTAAGCTTTCAGAAGTGATATCTTTTTATCCCTAGCAAAACTTATCTCGACAAATTTGAGCGTAGGAAGTTTAAAGGTTCTTTTGTTTTCTTAAAACAACTTAAACCACTAAAATTAGAAAAACATTCTAATATAAATATTGCAATCCTACAGAATAATTTTTTTTAATGATCTATTTAGTAAAATTAGTGTTTGATTAGTGAAATTAGAGAATGATTTGTTACTGTTTGAATGAAAAGTTTATTACTTCCTGTCCTCTTTTTGGTCAAGCAAAATTTTGCAAAGGTACAAATTGCATCATTTTCAAAAGCTTCAATCATGATCTCAAGGAATAGAGGGATGACCCAGTTGAGGTGACCAGGTTCGAATCCCAGCTTTGACTGGTTGATAAGAACTCCGCTTCCGACTTGCTTTGATCAATGCGTGCTGACGTAAAATATCTTCAATTGTAGACTGCTCATGGGTTAGAATGTCCTTGCCGTTGAGCTAACCTTGGAAGATTTTCGTGGTTTTCCACTCCTTGTAACGGAAATACGGGTAAGGTTCATCAAAAAGCCTTCAAACAAGAGTAGTTTGTCCAAAAGCTTGATACAGGATCCGAAAATGCAAAGGCTACGAAGGCGAACATTGATAGTGGTAAACTCCGAGTTGGGTCGGTTGGAAAAAAATGTCTCTATATTTGTTCCAAAAATTTTCCATAATGTTTTTGTTCGCGTAAAATCTTCCAAAACATTCGTTGCTAAAAAAATATTGTTTACACAGAATAAGTTTACTAGTGTTTCTATATCTTTGTACAACCACAGCAATTTACAACGTGGCTACAATCGGGAAAAATTCTAAAAACTGGTGATAAATGTTTCAGTAGGAAATTGGAAATTTTAATTTCACTTTAATTTTAGAAATTAAGTTAGGCAGTCTTAAGACTTGCATCGATTTCGTTAAAGTTACAAGGATATTTTGCTTGATAAAGATTAGTAATAATTTGTTTTTTTAAATCTATCTTGTTAAATATTCCCTGTTTGGACAATCTTGAAATAAAACAATAAGACACTATTGCAATATTTTTTTAAAAAATGTGATTTATATAAGTTTAGCACATACTTTCTTTACTTTGTATTTTTTTTAAAATTATTTTTATGGCATTTTGTGGTTTTTAGTATTTCTGAGGATAAGTAGTACATTTTAGTATTTTTATTACTTAGTGTTTCATTAAACAATATCATGTTTTTATATTTTATTTTCATCATATTTATGATAATTGAAAGTATATTTTAAAGAACGGTGTTTGTCTTTATTGATCTGAAATACAGTTATTCAGAAAAAGCTAAATCTTTCAAAGAATAACTTCTAAATGCATTTAAAAATTTTGCTTTTTACTTTTATTTTTTGTTAATTTTTCAGTTTGTTCAATTCGTTTTGTTAATTTTACGTTTTATTTTTGCTAATTTTTCAGTTATTTTGTTAATTTAGCAGCTAAAATAAATTTTCAAACTGAACTGAAGTTTTTCATGATATGTCTTATTATTACATCGTATTTTTTAAAGGTAATTGAACTTTTTATGTTATTTTGCAGGGTGAACCTGGCGAAGATGGAAGACCTGGCCCCTCTGGGCCTCCAGGACCTCCAGTAAGTAATTTTTTTATTACTTTTTAGCACAATTTACAAAAATTTCACATAATAATTTCAAATTTTTAATAATAATTCACTTTTTTTATAATATCATTTAATAACTTTAAACTGTGGTGCAACTTTTTTACACATGCTTTTTATCTTTATAGTAATGCAGTTTACATCCATTCTGCAAGGAAGTTTAATATTTGCAGTTTACATATATAAAAAGATTAAATCAAAGGGTTTCAAGATACCTCTAAAATAAAAATGTTACCCTACAACATGGTCGCCATTGTACTACTGAAATTTTACAGTAAATTATTAACGAAAAGTATCAGGACTTAGTCTTTCTAACGAAATAATTTCTCAAGCCCTAAATTCTGAGGCAGTTCAGCTGCTAGAAAGAAGAAAAAAAAGCAACTCTTTCGAACGAATTAAAGCATGTCGTGAATGTTTATGCACCCCCCAACTAGATATATTTTAATCTTGAAACCATGGTCATTAACAATGTTCTAGAATCTGTACAACTGGTGAGAGGAGAATTTTGTAAGGTAAATTTATGTTAATTTTCCCTATGACGACACGACCGCTTTTCTAACATATTATATCAGATTTTAAGACCGTTCATAATATGTAGTTCAGGCGTTAGAAATATGTTCCTGGGTTCAAATTCTGGCAATGTCCACGCTGTTTTTACATGACGTTGCTGAATTTTACGGTAAATATTGAGTAACCGTAATTAACTCATTACCCTAAAGTCATTATTTACCGTAAATAAACTCAGTGTTTACGGTAAATAATGAGTTTAGGGTAAACCTTACGGGTATCCTGAGTGTCTGAGCAACAAGACAAAATAAAATAGATAAATAAAAAATAGGTCAATTTTGAAAAAAAATTATCAATTACACTTATTATCAACCAATACATTTACAAACTTCCTGTCAATCGAAATTTAAATTCAGTATAAATCCATTTCAAACTAACATGATCTGTGATGAAACGTGCTTCAAAGCATTTAAAAAAGTGGCAGAATTCAATTTCATTAATATTCAATTTTAATCCCTTGTAGTTCCTCGAAAATTTTTGAAAAACATGTAAAAACGTTCACTAACTATAAACTTAGATTGATTATTCATTTCAGGTGGTTCCAACATTTGACATTTTTTAGCACACGTCTAATCACTAACAGAAACAGTTTTGAAGAACATAGTACATCATATTTATTAGTTGTTCCAAACAGAAACATTTATTTTTCCCTAAGTACCGTTTTTACAACTACGACATCAGTATATTCTTTCAGCGCTGACACATTAAAAAAAGTTTGAGCACTAATAAGCAAACAGTTATACATTTATAGTGGTTTTTAAGGTTGCATAAAAATCCCTAGTTGTTTGTAAGGTTGCTTAAAAATTCCTGAACGTTTAGAAGCAAATAGTTTTATATCCGCTGTATAAGCTGATAGGTCAATATAGATAAGTGTTAAGTAATTCAATTTATAAATTTCGTATTATTATTATCGTAGGGTCCTCGAGGTCTTCCTGGAATGCCTGGAGTTCCCGGAGCTAAAGGACACCGAGTAAGTGTCTAGCATGATTTTGTGTGTTTAGCTTCAATAAAAGATATTTTAAAAGATTCGTTGTTCATATAAATTGTATAAAAAATATAAAAAATGTAACGTTGTGTTTGGAGAGATTGTAAAATACAAATAAATACGGAAAAGTACAGTATGCTTTACGAAATCAACTATCAAAGAGGTGTGATCAGAGAGGGGAGTTATGCATGCCCTTAATCGTTGATATTTAATTTGCACAAAAAATGGTACTTTATCCACATTACTACATTTTTTATAGTATGTGAAATACAAGGTACTCGCTCTTGGTGTTTAGACGCCAAGGAAGGTTCTTGTCTATCAATTTCTTACTGCTACGAAACCGTAAAGAATCGAGGATCTTTCAGGGGAACCCCAAACATAAAAATAAAATTTCTTAGCAGTCGTGAACATATTGGCCGAAAAAAGATGATAAATTATTTTATAATATTTAATGCGAAGAATGAATTCTTTTAAATAATCGTTTTATCAATAAAAAAACTCTTAAAATAAAAGGTTCTGTGTCAAAAAAATTTTATTCGCAAGCCTAGAGTGGTATCTAGTCGAGTCCTGGATTGGTTTTTGATTTTGATACATACATTAGCTGAAAATTAGGAATAAAATACGTTGAATTGTGCTTTTTGAAGGAAAAAAAAACTCTTAGAAATGTTGAGAATAGTTATGAAATAGTTAGGAATTCTTGAATTTCGTCATTTTATATTAAATGGAAAAGTTCTACGAGAACTACTAATGCAATTTTTCTTATAAATTTTGCCTTTTTTTTACTGCCATTTTACTTAAATAATTTCAAAAATATAACCAAACTATCAAAGAAACTATGGCTTATTGTTTTGATCTTAACTAACTATAATTACAAGTTTAAAATATTATTACTGATTTTAAAAAAATGTAAACTCCCGGAATCCCTGTGATCCTTCCACGGAACCCCAGGGCTCCGTGGAACACCATTTCGAAACCGAAGGTCTAGAGCACTGCTTCCCAAAGTGTGGTACGCTTACCCCCAGGAGTACGGGAACAGTTTAGCGGGGGTTTACGTTCTTAGGTGAAATATCTATTCTTACAAGAAACGGAAATTTCAAAAAATTTTATTTACAAACAAAGTTAGTCCATGAAAATTTACGATTACGTATTTTTCTATTGGCTATTTTTTGCAGAGTTAACAGTAAATAATTAGTTGTGTCAGCAGCCAGTCATGATTTTTAACTTTTGGGCAATTTTTTTATAATCAAAAATACATTTTTTAATTGGTGGCACACAGAATTACGAAAAATTTAGAAAGGGTACGCAAGAGTCATAAGTTTGGGAAGCACTGGTCTAGAGAATCAAAACTGAAGTATGTCCATTTCAGTACTTAGTTGTGCTTTATTAACGTTGTTTTTAACTTACGTCTACGTAGCACTAATTATACCTTATCTTTTTTGGGTCACCCAAATTCGATTTCCTTTACCAATATTTTTTAAGTTCATTCCAATTCTAACCTTAAAAAGACCTTGAACTTAAACTGTATAATAAAACATCTGGGCAACTGAGGTTGCTTGCAGCCCTTTTCCCATTCATCTTCAGCTTGATATTTGTGGTGCTTCGATGAGGTTGTGGAATGCAAATGAAGCGAAGAAGTAGTCATCTGGATCATTGAGGTTCTGACAATGTAATTATATGCAGTAGGGCGATAAGACTATATTGTAAAAATATGAACTATAGCTGAGCTGATATGATGAAAATGAGGTTATGTATATGCTATATATGTAGGGAATATGATGCATCACTGCAATAGTATGCTGCTATTGGTCTGATGTTTTTGTCTTCAGCTAAATTTTCAAATAGGAATGTTCTTGAAATTTGTTGAAACACCTTGAACTTGGAAAAATAAAATATGAACTTACTCCACTTTCAAAAATAACGTTACTGAAGGATACAAACTCTGACACACATCAAAAGTTTGTTAATATTAAAAGGCAACGGAAGACTATTTCAATTAGCTTTTTGTTTTAATATACTGATTAGAGCAACAATAATTATAATTATTATTTCCTTCATTAAAGGGATTTCCTGGCCTAGATGGATCAAAAGGAGAACAAGGTCCTCAAGGAGAGAAAGTAAATATGTTTTTGTATTTTGGAGAAAGTAATTAAGAACTTGAAAACATTTTACATTGCAAAAATTTGCATTGCAAAAACATTTTACATTTCAAATTAAAAACAAAAAGATTCCATGACAAGGAAATAAAAAAAGTTTCCTAAATAAATCATTCATATCTGTTTGTTTGTTTTTTAACAGGGAATGCAAGGTCCGTCAGGAAAAATGGGAGCTACCGGCTTATTGGTGAGTAATAAGGTTTTGTTATTAGTTTTAAATATTCTTGCTACTTATTTTCAAATTTTTACCTTTTGCATTTCAATGTCACCTTTGAATCAACATCGAAAGTAACTACTTTAAAACTTAACATTTTCATGCTTAGTAACCACATTATGTAATGACTTTAAAAATTATACTATGTAGTTTTGATGATTTAGTGTTTATGTGACGGTTAAAGCAATAAACCAGGTTATTATTAATACTAACCGGCAGAGACCGATCAAGACTATTTCAGGCCCAAGGCCCCCCAAATTTTCCAGGCCCCTTACAAAACATTTTGAAATTATATTACTGAAGAGTAGTCCTAACAATAAAAAATAATCTATTGAATTGTATGATTCAAGAGAAGCATTCTAAGAAATTTTGAAAGCAAGCAATTAAAGATTATTTTTGTAAGATAAAGTTTATGTATCTATAAATTAAAGCAAAATATAAAAAACAATGATATATATGTCAAAATAAAAATACTTTTGTGACCACAAACAATTGAAATCAGTGATTTTTGCTAAAAGCCACTGATTGCTGAATTATTTTTTATTCAGTACTTAAACCAACACAAAGCTATCCCACCTTCCATTAATAGGTAATAACATAGGTTAATTTTTGTATGTTCCACCGCATTTATATTTTCTTTCATTAAATTATTTTATATGTCCTTCATACTTTATTTTTAAGTTGTATGAACAATTAAAAATTTATTTTTGTAAACAAACTCGTTGTTGACGTAATACTAATAAATACTAAAAATATACTAAATTAATAAATAATAATAATAAATAATAAATACTAAAATAGTTCAAATACTACTTTTTTCTCTCCATACCCTGATTTTAGTTTCGCTAAAAATGTCCTTTACGTCTTCCACTATTCTCTTCAAATGTTGATGTTACTGAAAGATCGGTGCCTGTATAAATTGACGTGCATGCTATCAGAACGAGTAATATGAGATTATGAAAATCTTTAGAAATTATGAGTATCTTTAGATTATGAAAATCTTTATGAGAATCTTTACTAACATTATCACCCAGTTTTAATTTTTCGAACATTTTCTGTACATAGATATGACATCTGATACTGTTACTTGCCATTATTTCTTACTGAGACTTCCACCAATAAAGTATACATATTAGAATCTTTAATTAACTAAACATTTCATTTTTATTATGGTTGCTATTATTGTATTTACTCTATTTTTGTTCATTTGCATGTGCTCTGCCTAACTCAAAGAATTTTCCATTTGTTAAAGTTCAAATAAAATTTCGTTGGTAAAAAATGTATGCTTTTTTTCCTTACAGGGTCCCCCTGGTCCAAGAGGTGAAAGGGGACGTGAGGGCCCTACTGGCCCACCAGTAAGTGTTTTATTTCGTCTCAGGAATAAAAATCTATTAGCATTGGAAAGAAAAAAAAATCATATTTTTTATTGTTTTACAGGGAATAAGAGGTATTGATGGCCTGCCGGGACCTCCTGGTCCACCGGTAAGTAGGCGACTTTATTTATTTAAATATTTAGTATAGTTGCTAATTTTTTTAAATTCATATAATTATGAGTAGGACTACTAAAAGGATTAAGCTTTTTCTCTTCAGAATACAATAATAAGCATTTTTGATTCTTTTTATATTGTAACATAAAATTAAAGTTTAGGAAGAAATTATTGTTATGTCATCATCTTCTTCTACTATCTATCTTCTACATAATTTACTTTTGAGTAACTGTATTACACAGAGGAACAATTTTTTTTTCCCATTCTCTTCCGACAACTACCTAAAAACATATCTTTTAAAATTAGAATAAAGTATATTCTTTTAACCTGTAGAGTAATAAGGGTCAGTATACCTCAGGGCAGTATACTGGGCTCAATTTTATATACATTATATACACCTACTAGAAGGCTTCGCCCCCTGCTCGCTGGCGCTCGCCAACCCCCGGAACTGTTTTCGCAGTTCATTTCGGATTGCTTCGCAATCCGATGCTCGCTTTGCTTGCTCATTGGATACGTTCTTAACGTCTAGCTTTTGTATACTTTTTTGAACACTGAAGTTCCGAAAACTTTTCACTGTAGAAAATTCTAAACCTGTGCATTTCAATATTAATTTGAAATTGCAAACAGTTCACATATTTTTCTTAATCACACTATTCTAAATTTCAGTTGTTGAGAAAAGTAACTGTTGTAAGTTTTGTTTTAAAGTCTTTCCCACCAGAGGGCTAAAACCATGTGTTGTAAAACAATATGAAATAGTACTGAACGCCGGATGTAAAGCATCGGCTTCGATGAAGATAATTTTGTGAGAATTTTTTTGATAATTCGGTGAGAATTCACCCGATTAGACATATGATGCTCACTATGTGCTCTTGCGCGCCGAAGCTTATCAATTACAACGTATTAGCGTTTTATATAATATAGATTAGCCATATGATGCTCACTATGTGCTCTTGCGCGCCGAAGCCTATCAATTGAAACGTATTAGCGTTTTATACAATATAGATTAGCCATATGATGCTCACTACGTGCTCTTGCGCGCCGAAGCCTATCAATTAAAAATGAAAACTGTTTCCAACGCGAGAAAAGAAATATCATCGGTTTTATTGATACATACGTATTTGCGTTTTATATAATATAGATGATTTTCTTATTGATAGAGGTGACTACAGCGGTCTGACTGCTTATTTCGCAGATGATACAGGTGTTACAGTCAAATCAAGATCTGTTACAAATGCCGTAAATAAATTACAATTTAAAATTCATGAGTTAACTTAGTGTTCTAACTGGAAGGACGAAATTCATCTTTAGAGAAATTTAAGGTATTTTTGAGGTGCCAAGGTTGATTTGAGGTATAGGCGATGTTATTGTGAAAAACAATCTTAAAAAAATCAACTTCCCAAGATGTATAATCAAGGTGCATGAAGTTGTTTTATTCACAGTTGAGGTTGTTTTGAGATTGATGGAAATCTACTTTAGAGCAACTAGTTTAGGGAGGTTGTTTTCGAGGAGTACGGGTTATTTTTTCTACACTTCAAGCAAATGCGTGTATAATTAGTCTCATTTTTACCGTCTACCTTTGAAATGCAACAGTAATTAGATAAACATAAATGATAAGACTTTACCAGTTAGCTTATCATGTGGAGCAGTTTGAAATTGTTACTAATTTAAGATTTTATCGAAAGGTTCAAAATTACAAGGCTACGGATTTGAACAGTGTCTAAAAGCCTTGAGAAATTATAAGACTATGACGTGTAATAAAATGCATGTTACTACCATTAGAAAATTTTCCATCTAAAAGGGAACTCTTCTAGCTGAGTGCTAATTGTAATGCTGATTCTCAGATTGTGACATAGCGACCACGATGCTAATGTGGCTGCTATTTCATTCAAAACTTTCATGATGAGATTTTCACTAATATACATTTGTGGAAACAAATATTTAATATACATTAATTTTTAAAATAAAAATTGGTAGTCATATTATAAAGATTCTACTGTTTAAATATTCTACTGTTTAAGTGAGTAGAAGGACAACGTACTTTAAATCGCTATAATAATATTACATCTTTCTTCTTTTTCTAGTTTAGTATTAGTGCCGAAAAGTATTTTTTGAATCGTAAAATGTATTCTGATTTGGCATCGTGCTAGAATTTCAGATAAAAAATAGCGCTTTTTACTTAATGCATAATATATAAATAACTCTGTAGAACAAAAAACGCTTTTATTTTCTGTTGCATGAAATTTTGTAACGGATCTTGGATATTTTTAAGTGATTTCAAATTCAATCAATCCATATTCCTTTTGATTCGATCATATGACATCTATCATAGCTGTTCGTCTTACGCCAAGAATTTTTAGGTTTTCTTCTTTTTCTAACGTCCTGGAGGTTCTAATTAAAAACTTGTTTTACTTAAAATTTCCGAAGTATACGTAGAAAATGAACAATCCATTTCCAATAACGTTTTTTAATTTCCAAGTGTTGTTGGTTTCTGTTTTGCTTTTCTAAGAATTTCTGCATAACAAATTTTATGATAGCACTTGATGCGTAAGATTCTTCAAAAACTGCCGTTAATAAATACTTGAAGGTTTTTGTTTAATATTATTTTTATTACAATGCCACATATATTTGATCCATAGAACAGCACAAATCAACATAATTGAAAATTCTAATTTCTATTAAATTTGTTATGCTTTTATTTTTCCGGAATTTATTGAGAATAGCATATCGAATAGTTGCCTCGGGCTTTGTTTCATCTAGTGTATTTTCAATTTTTCATCCTTTGTAGTTAGTTATAGCTTAATACGGAAAATACAGAAAAATATATGATACGTAAAACTGTTTACTTCTCTAGTTTGTTATTTTCTAAGAATATGTCAATGGTTTTCATTTACTTTTTTAAATTTTAGTTTTATTTCGGTTCATAATTAGCCTCATTTTTACCCTCTACCGTTGAAATGCAACAGTAATTAGATAAACCTAAATGATAAGACTTTACTAGTTAGCTTATCATGTGGTGCAGTTTCAATTGTTAGTATATAAGTAAAGATTTCATTGAAAGTAGACTACAGGATACACTTAAAATTCATTATTTTTCTTTTAGGGGCCCATCGGAAGACCGGGACCTCCGGGATTTCCTGGTTCACCTGGTGCAAAGGTACAGTACATTTTACAGCTTTTAATTTTTTCCTTCATCTAAGTTTTTGATTTTGTAATTTTCCTTATTGCTTACCGAGTAAACTTCAATTGGAAAAATATAGATAGACAGTAAAAGCAGAAAAAATACGCTTTTTCGTAAAGATAAATTTTAATGTTTGTGATAAAAAATCATTTCAAATGGTTAAGTAAGTAAATGCGATACATTTAATTGGCAATTCCAAATGATGGTAAGTAAACGAATAGTTATGGATTAAAATTAGAATTAATGTTAAAACAAGTTTTCCACGACCTTAAGAAATAGAAAATATATGAGAGCTAGATAATTTTTCTAATGACTACTGCAAAATGTGCTTAAACGAAAGAATTAAAAAGTTATTCCTGGTGTATTTTGTGCAATTATATATATTTCCTTTCAGTGGCGTTATTTTGGGGACAAAACCCCCTCCGAAATTATATATATATATTACTTGATTAATGAACTATTGCACGGTTAGTAATGAACTATTGTACGGATGTAGATTCACTATTCATTTTTTGTAATTTAAGCGTTTATTGTTGTTGTTGTCGGTCATTAAGACAGAGGGGGTGCGATCTATGGCTCAGAGTTCCACTTTCTCCACACTCATACGTTACACCCGTTTATAGGGTGGACTCATTCATAAATCCATTCATTCATCCACAGATCGTAATTTTGACCTGAATCAGAGAACAATCAAATCGTTAAGCATGATTAATTTATTTGAAAGTTAGAATGTTCTTCAGTTTAGAATGGTTTTACGCAAAAGATTTCATTTGAATAAATTAAAACTAATATCAAACAGCGATGTATACATTAAGAAATTGAGTATATCAATTTAAAAAAATAGTTCTTATTATTTTAAATGCCCTGTTAAGAAAACTATTTATGCAAGAGTAACGTCCTTATCAGAAATCAAGAACTCGTAAAAAGAAATTAAACTTTTTTAATCGATTCTAGTTATGTGTGATATGATATGATATAAACTAAATGCGCGTTATTTCAGGGAGATGCAGGACCTGGTGGACCAAAGGGGAACCAAGGATTGCAAGGACCCCGTGGAGAGGCTGGTAAACCAGGTTTACCTGGGGAACAAGGACCAATGGTATTTTTTTATTTTATTAATTAAAAAAATTTTTATATTTATCACTTGCTAACTGATATACGATGAAATTTATACTAAAATTGTAGCTGATTTTTATCAACCACATAATGAGGTACCTTCAAACAAATACGGAATTTCCGTAATTTTAGAAATCATTTCTCTTATTCATTTTCATGAAAATATTTTTCTTAAACATTTATTCGAATATTTCATTAAATCAGAGTTTAAATAGCTTCGCCCTCCTCTACACATAAATTGTTTTAACAAACAGCTAAAAAAATCATTTTGAAAGGTGGTTGGTATCTTAAATTCGAATCAAATTTTATACTCGGTTTAAAAATTGTTTGCTTAAGTTCACTATCACAAAAATAAGTATCCTCTAATATTATAGGGTAGGGTTAATGAGTAAAAATTATTAATTTAATGTAAATCTAATAGTATAAAGTGTTTTTAAAATTCAATATAAATCTAATATAAAATATTTATAATATTTATTTTAAATCTAATAAAAAATAATCTATTTCTAACTGGCACTTTTGTGAATTCGAGTAAATTAATTTAAGCTTCATACCGCCCTCTTTTTTGCTACTGTATCTATATAATATGTTAGTAATGCCGAAAATTTAAGAAAGGGTGATTGAATAAGGATGTCGATTCCGGTCGATCACGCGGTTATTGATGTCCTGGAACGAGCAAGTTTTGAGCCGAGTCCTGCGGTAGAGATGTCACGATTACAATAGGAAATTTCTCATACCTGACCAGATGTCGAGTGTTACACAAGGTGTCAGATTCTGAGCTCCGGTCAGCCCATTTGATGTTCTTGACGAGGAAAAAATTTTGATGTTTTGAGTTATTGATGTTTAATCCTTTTGGTGAGTAATTCTTAATAATTCTCTCGAAATTATGTCTGGACGTGGCAAAGTTTGAAGCTCGTAGTTTAAAGNAATTGTTTTAACAAACAGCTAAAAAAATCATTTTGAAAGGTGGTTGATATCTTAAATTCGAATCAAACTTTATACACGGTTTAAAAATTTTTTGCTTAAGCTCACTATCACAAAAATAAGTATCCTCTAATATTATAGGGTAGGGTTAATGAGTAAAAATTATTAATTTAATGTAAATCTAATAGTATAAAGTGTTTTTAAAATTCAATATAAATCTAATATAAAATATTTATAATATTTATTTTAAATCTAATAAAATATAATCTATTTCGAACTGACATTTTTGTGAATTCGTGTGAATTAATTTAAGCATTATACCGCGCTCTTTTTTGCTACTGTATCTATATAATATGTTAATAATGCCGGATATATATATTAATAATGCCTAAAATTAAAGGTAAAGATTTGTTGACACCACTGCCCTAAGCTTTCACAGTGTCTTGACGCGGTGTTTATGACACACTTCAAAATTAATTTTGGCAATTCACGAACAAACAGAAAAGGAAAAAAACACATTTCTTTTCATATAAATGTTCACTTTTTATGAATTAGAATCGCTTGGTAAGATTTATTATTATAGGGGAAGTCTAAAATTTGCCCTTATGTGCGCAAGTGATCTTTACATTTTTATGATATAGATATACTCTTATAGATAGTATCAAAAATAAAAAGAACAGTTCTGGTAGCACTGCCATTAAAAAAGTTAAGCTTTCAAAATATTGAGGCTGTGTTTGTAACATATTTTGAAATATTTTCAGTCATTCATACGACAAACGAAAAAAAACTAAATTTTTACACTAACTTTGATTTTTTCCGAAATTGACAATATTTTGTAAAAATTTCTTCATTCTAGGGACCGTCAGGAAAAGATGGAGCTTCTGGCGAAAAAGGATCTCAAGTAAGTACTTAAATTCCATTGTGATTTCGATATAATTAACTGATTCCATAAATTACCTGTTCCAACATTCATTATCATATTTCGTTTGAATAACGCATCATTTTTGGTATGAACAAATTTTGCATACATCAAGAATCTCTTACTTTCAAGCATATTTGTTAAATAAAGGAATACTAATTTTGTTAAAATCTTTAAAAAATCTCCTTTATATATTATATCTTAGAAATTCCTTTAACAAACAACAGTTGATGTTTTCATTATTAGTGTTTACTTTTTCTCTGAATATTGTTATTTCTTGTTAACCTCTTCAGAATCGATGCACACATTATAACACTAAATACTGTTATACAATACAATTATAATTTTATTTTAAAGGGTGAAAGTGGAGCAGCTGGCCCACCTGGTTTTCCTGGTGCTCGCGGACCTCCTGGATTGTCGGGCAGTCCCGGATTAACTGGACCGAAAGGATCACCTGTATGTTTTTTTTTCTATATCTAGCACATTGCACTTGAAGTATAATATGATAATTAAAATATATGGTAATTAAAAAATATGCCAACTAAAAAATATGCTAATTATACAAATTTAAGAGCAGGGATTAACTCAACTGGAAGGATGCTCAGTTTATTGCACTTTTTAGATATAACTTTTTGCTCTTGAAGTACTCAAAACATACTGTTTTTTCTATCGAATATGAAAAATCAAACAAAAGTAGGAGCTGGACGATTGCCCGGTTTATGCTTGGATGGTGTCTTCCTTGGAGTTTTCCATACACTGATGTTTGTTTCCGGTTAATGGCTATTGCCTAGCATTCCTCACACTTGAAGTTTTTGTAATCTATCCCAGTAGTGAAATCCGTAACCAACTCTAAGAGGGGAAAAATTTTAGAATTTTTCCAAATTTTGAAAATAAAAATAAAATTTCAAAAAATCCGGCCATGCATTCCTTACTTTAATCCATCTGGGGAAAAATAATTCATTCACTTAGAGAGGCAGTTTGGAATTGAAAGACTAATCTAAAACTCCAATTCTAAGATGCCTCCATAGGTAATGCTGCGTAGTTTTTTCGCCCAAGCAGAGCTCTACTTACTGGAAGCGGTGGGATCAGTTTCTGTGTAATATAACCATTTGTATTTAAAGTATTCAAAACATACTACTTTTTTAATTTAATAAGTAACATTTAGCAAATGTAAGCACTGGAGGAATAATCGTATGCTCTTTAGATTAAATCTTTTACATTTAAGTATACTATCCTTTTTTTTTTATGAAATATGTAAAATTAAACACCGGGCACATTCACCGGACGAATGTAAGTACCGGGATGTATGTATACAAGACTAAGAGGATGTCTTATGTGCTGATGTTCTCTGTAACTGGCTCGAAACGATGCTTAGGAGGTTTTGTCTATTATAGCTATTGCATTTAAAGAATTCAAATTATTAAACAAATGTAAGAACCAGGAAAAATTGGACTGAAATCTTCCCAGTTTGTTGGTGTGTCTCTATATCTTTTTGCATTGTATTAGTACTGAAAACATTCTAATATACATATCTAAGCACTGATAAACTTAAAATATATAACATCATCTAAATTTAATACCTATTTGAGCTAACTAGGGTTTTATTTAACTTTTATTTCGTGCCTGTACGGAAAAAAAACATGTTATACTCAAAAGTCTGTTACAATAACAGGTGGAAACTGCAATATAAACTACTAATAAGTATAAGAACTTTTTTTTATTTTAATTTAAAGACATCAGATTATTTTAAACAGTAAATTTAAGGAGAAAAAAATTAGTGGACTCTTAAACATAAAATAATGAATGGCCTGATCGTTGAGTGATATGTACTATTCGTTATTTCATGTATCAGAACATATAAAAATATTTTTAAAAATAATTTTTAGAATAGATAAATAAGTTTAAAGCGCTAAATATTGTGCTCTGTTAAAATAATAGCGCTGCTCCGATTTTTACTTTTGGACACGAAACTTGCTGAAAGTCTTTCACGTAAGTAAAATTTAGCTTATATAGTGCAGCTATTTTAGAGTTATATTATTAAAAGATCGTCCACTTGAAACTTATTTTTAATTTTAAACATACTTAGAAACTATTTTAAAAAAGGTTTCTTGTTATTACATTGACTTACATGTCTCATAGACATCCAAAATTGATTGGCACTTAGCTGCTCGATGTGCTCACTAATCTTTATAGTTATAAATAATATCTAAAAGTTTATAGAAAAATGAAATGTTTGTTTTATTTTGTGGTGATATTTCTAAATTATAATACAGGGTATTCCAGGAGAGCCTGGAATAAAAGGAGAAACAGGGCGTAAAGGAGAACAAGGAGGACCTGGACCAAGGGGCTTGCCAGGAACACCTGGTCAAGCCGGAAAAAGAGTAAGTAGAATTAAAATAGAAAATATTGCAAATATTTATCATTTAATTATTTGTAAATTTTAACCAAGTATTTGAAGGTATGGTTTACTATTAACACTATCCACTTAAACAAACCTGCCATTACTCGTTTCCTCAGTAGACATCTGTCATCAATGACTTATATCGATGGTAATAAACATTTCGGAATCTGCACTAAGTGTTCCGCTGCCCAAGCCTCCCCTGAACATATTTTATCTTGTCTGGGACTTACCAGGCAGGACCTGGTTCAAGCTACTCTATTGGTGCTAGACTTTCTCAGAGTGAACGAGCTTATGGACCTGATCTGGGCTCTGCTGGTCATGGAGATGAGAACAACAACAACACTTACACAAAAAAAAAATTTAGATTTTTTTAAATGTCTAATATTAACTTATTAACTGTCTAATTTTATATAGAAATAATGTGGAAATTACCTATTATGTAATTGCAATTTATGTTACTTGAGTTATGCAATATCTGAATAAAGTACAAACTTTTATGTTAGCTGCCACTTAAATTTAAAAAAAGTAATATTTTAAAAATTACACACGCACGTAGTAAAGTTAAAGGAGCCTTTTAGACTAACAAACCTGCCTGCTTTCTACGCTTTTAGAAAAAATTTCGTCCAGTTCAAACTAAGCTTATCTTTTAATGTATTGTTCATCGTTTCATAAATTGTATTTAAACTTATCTTCCTCACCACTGCATTTAATAATGTAAAAGTTAATATAAAATGTCACTTTGATTTTGCTGCATACTGGCACAGCTTTTAAAATGTACACAAAATTACGAGGAATTCTGAAAGCTTTTAGTTTTTAATAGTCTACTACTCTCTAAACTGTTTTGTTCAAAGCGTAGTAGTTGACCACCCTGTCCTGAGTGTCTTGATGATGGATTCAAGTCCAGCTTTTAACTTGGAAGTATCTTAGAGGTGTCCATATTCATTCGTGCTATCTGTTCTTCAACTTATTAACGGCTTAGAATTCGTTTTTGTATAGAGCACACGGGGTCTGCATTTTAACGTGCAACGGAATCTGAGAAAATTAAATTTTATAACCGAAAAATTTGTAATAAAATAATACAGTGGATAGGTAAGGTTATTTTTCGAAAATACAAATTACACAAGTGCCAAGTCGTAGGGTTGTTGAAGAAATTTTTTAGTGGTAGAAAGTTTTATGTTTTAACATTTAAATCCGCAACCATGGCAAATAGTTCAAACATATAATTCAGATTATAAAGTAATTATGCTTTTAAGCGTTGTTGAAGCTTAATTTTTAGAAAATTTCTAACTATCACTTTGTAAAATTTTTAATTTTTTGAAGTAAAGCTCATTACACAATGTTTTGAAACCCGAAGAATCATTTAAGCAAAACCTAGTAACGAAGGCATTATAGAAATATTGTAATTCAACTTCTAATTTGACTATTTGTATTTAGGGAAAATCTGGAGCCCCCGGATCCCCAGGCCCGAATGGACCTCCAGGAGAACGTGTAAGAATTTCTTCATTATTGATTTTATCGCATTATGAATATGTATATTTTTAAGTTCATTCTTCATTATTCACCTTATCATTAGCCTGATGTTATTGGCCTCTAATAAAAACAGGTGTTTTAACATTATTATTGTCAGTCTCTAGACTTGAAATATCTTAGCAAACTCCATAGAATATATTATTGATCAGCAGTAAAGCACGTAAAGTGATATAAAGCTTGACAGTTTATTTATAATAAAGTTTTTAAACTATATTCAAAAGATGCAAAGCTTGTCAATATATGGAATTGCTGACTGAAAAAAGCATAAACTTTCAAAATCATTTAAAAGTGAAAGAAAGGTAGGGTTTGCTTCATTGCTTAGTAAACCTTCAGGGAAATGCTTTCTTAGAACGATCTAACAAGCAGCAGAAAATATTATAAGTTTTAGAACCAGAGCGTCACCTGTTGAATAGCCGTATAACTAATTTTAAGAATAAATTATCTTTATACCTTAGCGGTACGCCACAAACTGTATTAACTTTCTTGACTACCTTTTTTCTCTGAGTAATTTTTTTAAATCATCTCATATGTATTGGAACACTCGTATATTGTTATTATTTGAAAATTTTAGTTAAAAGAAAATCTGATAAATTTTAAATCTTATCACATCAATTTCAAATAATTTTTTATTGCTTCTTTTAGTGCATAATTATGATTGCATAAGTCTTTGATATTAATATATATTTAATAATCAGACTGCTTTATTTGCATTGCTTCTATGTTTCGTATTAAATTATATTTTAATTCATTTATATTGCATTTATTTTGTATTTAAATTCAATTATATTCAATTTAAAGGGTTTGGCTGGCTCTCGTGGACTTCCTGGACCGGATGGACCTGCAGGAATGAAAGGAGCTCAGGGTGACAGAGGACCACAAGGTCCTCAGGGACCTAAAGGCTCTCAGGTTACCGTTTTTCCATTTTGTCTAGCATCAATATATAAAAGATAAAATTTTATAGTTTTAGTTACTATTTTATTTTTGCAGGGTGAATCTGGTAGGCCAGGACCACAAGGTTTACAAGGATTAAGGGTAAAAACACCTAAATATTAAGTATTAAAAATGATTGTATACTAGACAATGGTCATTTATGACTTTTAATAATATTTTAGGGATTAGCTGGAAGGCCTGGACTTCCTGGCAAAGATGGAACTCCTGGTGAAAGAGTAATATTTTACATTATTTCTAACTTTAAATGATTGAAGAATAGCCTTCTTACATTTAAGTATCATAATAACAGTCAAATTTTTTGCACCAAGCAATATCATTGCCTTATTAGAATTTTTTTGCATCAGTCGATTTATTATATTTTTATAATTTCATTAAATTTAATCATAATAAACCTAAATGAAGTAAATTATTATTTTAAACAAAATATTTGTAATTTTATGTTTGATTTAAATTAATTGAGGTTTTGTTTTAAGAGTAAAATCTATCCTTAATTCTGTATTTTCAGTGAATTAAAAGCCTATGAAACTAGGTTTAGTAAAATAATAATCTTGATTTTAACATTTTTCATCCTCTCTATTATTTATAATCCAAATTAAAACCAGTAGGTATCTGATACAAAAAGTATCATGTTCTTGTAACTAATAATCAGTAGTTCTATTAGTTACTAACTGATGACGAAAAAATTTGCACTCATCCACTTCTATTTCAAATGGGTGAAACTTAACCAATACCAGGTTAAGTTTCACCAATTTAAAATAGAAGTGGATCACCAGGATTCAATAACATTTCATTCATAAAAAAATAATTAATAAATAATAATTTTAGGTAATCATTAAACATATTTTTTGCACAGTAAAAGATTAATGCAAAAAAATGTGATTGAGGATATTATTTTGTAATAATCAGCATACTTTCATGCAAGAATTTAATTCATATTTTTCTTTCTTTTATATGCTTCTTAAGTGTTCCATTTTTAAGACTTACAATCTTTTATGTGCTAAATTAAACGTAAAGAAGATTTTGCTGTTATTTTTTCCCCAAAAAATACAATTAAAAAAAGTTATAATAACGAAGAAGAGATTTTAACAATTTTATTTGAAAACATTTTTTTAAAAACAATCAAAAGTAATAAAGTTATTATTAGTGATTATTAGTGATAAAAGTAGTTATTAGTGATTTTTTAATGTTTTTTTTTCAAGCAACAGTTTTTAAGAAGATTAAAAAAAAAATATATAAAAGTTAAAATTATATTAAATTTTACTAACACCCATATTTAATGTCTTAGGGTCAACCAGGGGCTGATGGAAAACCTGGTGAGCCTGGACCACAAGTAAGCTTGAAAACGTTCGAATTATTCATACTTTACATAACTTAACATAATCGTTGTTAAACTTAATCTTAAAAAATTCTTTCAGGGTATCCAAGGTCTGCCTGGCCTTATGGGTTTACCAGGAGCTAAAGGAGATCAGGTATGATTTTCTAAATTAACCTAAATCATATGATGCAGAGGATAATTACAGTAACTAGAAGTATTACAAATTCATGGATAACATTGTTTTTGGCGTTAATAAAACAGTCATTCATTAGTGCCCTGAAACAACAATTTTAATGTTAAAACTAAGACTCCCGCTTGAGAGAAGCAACCATTCATCAATGTTCAGAAACAAGGATTGCAAAGTTATGACTAATGCAGTTTTCGACATGAGAAAATCAACCATTCTTCAATGACTGAAAAAGGAATTTTAAAGTTAGGCCTAACGAAAGGAACTTTAAAATTAGGTCCAGAAATAGGGATTTCAAAAGTACTGCTCATTGTTCGGAGACAAGGATTTCAAAGTTGTGACTAATGCAATTTTAGACATGAGAAAAACAACCATTCTTCAATGACTGAAAAAGGCATTTTAAAGTTAGGCCTAACGAAAGGAATTTTAAAGTTAAGTCTAAAGATAGGGATTTCAAAAGTAATGCTCAATGTCCAGAAACAAGGATTTCAAAGTTATGACTAATGCAATTTTAGACATGTGAAAAACAACCATTCTTCAATGATTGAAAAAGGCACTTTAAAGTTGGGCCTAACGAAAGGAATTTTAAAGTTAGAAGCAGGGAATTCAAAAGAAATACTTAAAATTTTTTGGCTTAAACGAAACAACCATTTATCAATACCTAGTTACAAGGATTTCAAAATTATGGCCGACATATTTTTAGCCTGAGCAGAAGAATCGTCATTAACAACCATTAAAGCTAAAAGCAGGAATTTCTAGGTTTGGGTCGAATCAATTTTGCGCTCAAATGAAACAACCATTCCTAGAAACAACAGGAATTTCAAAATTGGGACCCATTTTATTTCTGACTTGAACAGAACAAGCATTTATCGATGTCTAGAAGTAAATAGAATAATGCTTCAAAACTACAAAATAAGTCGATAATTTTTCGTACATATTTGAAAATTGTGTTTTAAAATATTTCAACCCTATTTTTTTTAATGTAAACAAAAACGTATTTTAAGAAAAATAACTGGAATATGATTAAACGTGTACACTAACCTTTTTAATTATACTTTCCTTGCATGGATATAATAGGGAGAAGCTGGACAAGATGGGCAACCAGGACCTTCCGGTCCACCCGGACCCAGAGGAGATTCTGGAAAGGAAGGAACGCCAGGTCCACCGGGACCCGCTGGGCCACCTGGAGAACATGGGGAACGAGGACCTCCGGGACCTCAAGGAGCAGCTGGATTTCAGGCAAGCTTATGACATTTTTTTAAAATTGTTACAGGCAAATCTATACGAATCTATATTATTTGTTTATTATGCAAATGTTTCGAATTGCTAAGAAAGAAAAAACGATAAAATACTTAGATTTTTTAATTTTTTTTCTTTTATGATTATTTTATCATAGGGTCTTCCTGGCATAACAGGAAATCCTGGCCAACCAGGAAAAGATGGAGAGCCAGGGCTACCAGGATCACCTGGCGCTCCCGGGCCGGCTGGTGAGCGAGGTGAAAGAGGATTCCCTGGTGAGAGAGGTTTACAAGGAGTAATGGGTCCACCAGGTGCTAGAGGTGACACAGGACCACTAGGTCAAGACGGCATTCAAGTAAATACCACTCAAATCAAACTATATTGCATATTTTTATTAAATATAACATTAAAGATGCAATTTTTTTTTCTCTTTTGTAGGGTCCCCCTGGTGAAAAAGGCTCTAAAGGACACTCTGGTCCATCAGGTTTACTGGTAAATAACTAAGTACTAAGTTATCTTTCATAAATGTATGACAGAAATTCGATTGTCTGTAAGAGAAGTTGAATCATTTATAACTAAAAAAATGTGATCTTAATGGCCACTTGTTTTCAGGGATTACCTGGCTCAAGAGGAGAACCAGGTCCCAGAGGTCCAAAAGGAGATAGAGGGGATCATGGACCACCAGGTCCTGAAGGTCCCCAAGGAAGACCTGGAGATCAAGGACCGCAAGGATTGGTAGGACCTACTGGACCACCTGGCGAATCTGGAGAAAAAGTAAACTTTTTGAATAAAGATTGTATTAAAAGGGAAACTTTGATCTTAAAGTATTAACCCTCTATTGAAAGCTTTTTATTCATTTATATTCATTGTTTTAAAACTTGAAGCCTCTCTTTTAACAAAATGCGTGTTAGTAAAATTTTGTCTTAATAAAACTAACTGCGCAACTCTGATACTTTCCTAAATAGATTTTTCTTAATTGAAGTGATAAATAAAGCGAGGTACTATACTTTAAATTTAAACAAAAATTTATAAATGAATTTCATTTCTCAATATTTCTTTTTTTTTCTTCCCTTAATAATACCTCAAAATGAGATTTTCTGTTATAAACGGAATGAAACTCTCATATGTACAACAGTAGCAACAATTAAGGAAAGCAATATTTTTATTCGTTATAAATGCCTAATATACCTTTCTTTATTCTATTAAAACACTCAACATAGCGAAATATTTGTTCTCTGTAAAAAATTTCTTTATTAAACATCTTCATGATAACTATGTTATCGTGAATGTCTGAAATCAAGAGAATGTCGACTTTCTCCGGTGAATGACAACAATCACATAGTAGCTTTGGTGAATGTTCGAAATATTTGTTATATCCGATATTAATTTATTCCTTGATATTATTATATTTATTCGATACTTTAATATCTGTGTTCGGAGTACCGGTTAAATACCGGTTCACACTGGGCAGTGGTACTTGACCTTAAAAAAATATTGATGTATCGGGGAGTTGCAATTAACTGGACCTAATATACGTTTTAAACATTAACCAGAGACACTACATAATTGTCAACAAGCACCAATTTTGGTCATTCAGAGTAACAACTTGAATACATAACTTGATAAGGAGTTACTGGATTGCTGAATAGATTTGATAGCTCAATTGTTCTATGCTTTCAGGTCATAAGGGATGATTGCAATGAAAAATTTCTTTTTTTACATACTTTTAAGTTTTATTTATGCAGTGGTGTAAAAACTTTCTTATTTTGAATTTATCACACTAATATGTATTACCAGGCTTGCCAACTATTACGCTTTTTACAAAATATTTTTTATAGTGGTTAACCTTTAAAGGTCAAAACTTTCAATATTTTTGGTAGTTTTACAGACATTTTAATAGCCTCAAACCGAAAGATCAGAAATAAAGTGGTGTTGTATGTGAAGTTTTAAATCATTTATGCATAGTAGTGTGGAAAATAAATTCTAATGCATATATATATATATAAAAAACATTAATATATAAACTTAAGTACCATTAGAATAAATGCTAACAAAAAGCGCAGAAAGTTTTGCAGCCCTGTATTACCTTTGCCACCATAGAAAAATATTTTATTTAATTACGGAAATTCCGTAGCAGTTGCAAAGTGTCTTTTTTTATAAACATTTTTTAACATTTATTAATTTCATAATTTTATTCTTTAGTTATTTTACGAAATTCGAACATTTATGCAAACCTTGTAATATATTATAACTATAATTATCTTAATGACTATCTGAAATCATTTAAGTACTTTTTTTCACACTTTATGCAGCAGCTAATTACAAAACAAAACAAAAATATCCACTTTGTTTAAACATATATGCCCTTCCATTTTTTAAAAAAAAGGAAGTTCTTTTGCCACTACAAAATGTTTCCACACTTCATCGACAGAAAATGGGTTAAAGAATTAATTGTGAACCTGCATCTTCGGTACTTTCAAGTTTCCGGAAAAGTGAAAATGGGGAGATGAAATTTCTATTTAATTGACCAATTATTCTAAAATAATGAACAAATTACTTCGTAGGGAAAATAGAGTTGTGTTTAAATGTTTTACCTTTATTCATTTTTTTAAAAAATTAAACTAATGGTTGAAATGAAAATTAACAGCTACACATCAGTAGAAATCTTCAACAATACATTTTGTCAAATTGTATAAATTATTATTTAATTTTATAGTTTAAGACTATCTCGCAATGCGGCCTTCAATTATTTTCTTTCTGTGAATTAAACTGATTTCCGGTTGAAAGTTTATTCTTATTCGAAACTAACAAAAATTTGGAATGGAATTAATTGCGAAAATTTAATATTAAAAGTCAACTGATAGAGTTTTAATCTTAACTCATTACCTTTAATCTAGTTATTCAAATCCTCGGGAAACCAATAATGTCCATATTTTAGTCAATTACTACCAGTTCTTTATTTAAAATTTATTTATTGATAAATTTGCCTGCTAGCGTAACCTTGTTTATTTTATTCATTAGTTCTTTCTGAATCTGTCTCTTATAAAAGGAGATGTTAATACAAATTGATAATTCATTTACAGTATATATGTATATATACTCGATATCTCAAAGCGGCTCGCTAAAAAAATATCGAGATAGCAAGTTCAGAGCTAATTAATGTTCTAAAAAGTAGAGGCATAAGAATAACTATTAATAATTATGTATGTAATAATAGTTGACTATAACTCTAAATACAACAGTTATAATTTTATTTTTAAAAGTCAGACAAAAATAATTGTGCATTAAAAAGAAAAGAATTGGTCAACAATAAACTAAAATTCATTTTCTATTTTGAAAAAAATTCGGCATAACAAGGTTTAGAGCAGAAATCCTTCAACATAGGAATTCAACTTGCATTAGGAGGCTAGGGAAAAAATATTTTTTTGTTATAACAAGATTTTCGAGATATCGAGAGTATAGTATTTCATTTTTAGCTTCTTTTTTGCGATAAGTAAGAAATTCGTACCCACCAAATTTCCTAATAATATAAAAATCTGCTTTACTTTTGAAATCTCAAAACTGTTTTATTTCAAACTCCCAATTTATGTGTGCCTGCTTCTAAAATCATTACTAAATGCATAAAATATTCGCCTAGTTTAATCACAAATTTAAATTCATTAATTTGAAGAAATAGTTTTACTCTTAATTGCAAAATATGAGTCCGTTGGGGTCCTATTGTTATTTGAACATACTATTAAAGGAAAAATTTTTTTAACTTCATAAACTATTAAGCGATGATACGTACGTCTAAAAATGTAGAAAATGGTAAACTATAAAATGCATAACTCGATAAACGATAAAATTGGAAAAATATTGTGATTAGCAACATTTTCTTTCAGTTAATTATTACAAACGAATGCAAGGAAGTGGTGAAATAAATTTCTACCACTAATCTGTTTTTCAGGTACACATATCATCACTTACTATTAGTTAGATAAACAACGAAAAAAATAAAGTTTCTTACTAACACTTTTTAATCAAAAATAAATTTTACTAATTTAATAATTTCCTACAGTTGAATATGGGCAGCATTTAGTCTCTCAATAATATAACTTACGCCTGCACGTGTTGTGCTGGCATTTTTAGATAAAATATGAAGATAGTTCCTGAGATACGATCTTGCTTCGCCGTTAAAAATATTTCTTCAAGTAGTAACGAAATAGCAGCTGTATATGTAGTTTATTTTTTCTTTTTAATCTCTTCGCGGCGGGCGAGTCATACAACCATTCTCAGAATGTCGATGATCAGGGTAAAAAAAAAAGATAAAACTGGTAGCCAAACTATTTTTATAGCAGTTTATTTGTGGACGGGATAATTATAATTTGCTTTTTTTTAAAATACACCACTACTTAGTACGAATTAAAAATTGTATAGTTACACTTTTAACACACACGGATTCGTTGTGTTAGATTTAAAGTAAGAGCAAAAATAAGTTTGTCAATTTAGCTATGCCCTGGCTATATCATCCGATGTGCGTACACATTGATGTTTAAATACTGAGTTTTTGAAGAAATAAATTACACTGGGAATTTTTTTTTGTAGTATGAGAGCACATTTTGAATAACCGTACGTCGATGTTTTCAAATCTGTCATACCTGCCACCTTTTACTCATTTGGCGTAAAATTTTATTTCGATATTTAAAGTGGTAGTAAAATGTATGTCTTCTATACATTCCTTGCATTTATAAACTTAATTTATAATCATTTCAATCCACCACTATTTTTAAAAAAAATTTATCGAATTATATTTCAAAAAATTTTTTTTTATGTATAATAATCTGTAACACTGTTTTGATAGTCCGCATGTTTTTAATTAAAATCGTAATTTAAAATTCCAATTTACTACCACGGTGGAAAATCAGCCTCGAAAGTACTAAAAGTTGAACTCAGAAAAAGAAGAAGAAAAAGGATTCAGCTCATTCATTCTCTGCGACGTTCATACAGAGTTCATTCTCGAGTGAAATCTACTATAAATAGAGGGGTGGGATAAAAAAACGATAATACTTCGCATTTTATAATGCGATACGTAAAGGTCAAATGTTTTTTGTGTCAAGTGTTATTTTCAAAGGAGTTGACAAGTGTATATTCATGTATATAAACATATGAGATATTTATAAATTTATACAAAAACTAAACTAAAAATACCATTTTGAAAATAATCTGTAGCTCTCCGCACAAAATTAATGTCAGGTTTGAGTTCCTTACACCCGAATTAGGCATGATTAAATACTTGTATAACTGCATAAAATATTTGTTCCCCAGTGTTATTTATAAATTGATTTTTTTGCTTAGGAACAAAAATTAAGAACAAAATGAAACATAGTTTTGTAAAAGTGATTTTTAAAATTTAAATGGTGATGAAACAAAAGTTATATTAAGTGTACAAGAGACTTCTTTCCTCGCTGAAAGTACAAACCTCATTTTACAGTAATTCCTTTATAAAAGAAAAATACCCTTTAACCCTTTGTAGAACAGGAAATTTCGAATTAAAATTTTAATCAGGCAGGACTAGTGCTGCTTTAGGCAATACATTCTATGTGAACTAGCATACTTTACCAACTTGCTTAAACAATAGTGGTTACTAAACGTTCAAAAGCAATTAGTTTTACCCTTCTAGTGGTTTGTTGCCTAAGTGTTCCAAACTTGGCTACACTGAACCGGAGAGGGTTAATGAATGTTCTATTGTAAAGAGACAAGTGCATGCATATTCAAATTTGTAACGAAGTACCCGATTGAATTATGCAGTTCATCTGTTTTATACATTGAAAAAATAACTAATGGCATCCTTGTTTAACAAGGAAGTTTCTTTCATGTACTAAATAATCTGGTAGTATTTGAAAAAATTCTAGAAGTAATTGTGTAAAAATACCTAATTTTAGTCAGCTCCTGTTTTTATGACTTGTTTTTTTCCCTTTTTTTTCATAATAAACTTTTTCTATCGGTATGACAAACAAACAATAATCTGATCGTTTAACCCTTTCGCGCCGACTGTCACAAATACGTGACAGCATAAGACTGNAAAAATTCTAGAAGTAATTGTGTAAAAATACCTAATTTTAGTCAGCTCCTGTTTTTATGACTTGTTTTTTTTCCTTTTTTTTCATAATAAACTTTTTCTATCGGTATGACAAACAAACAATAATCTGATCGTTTAAAAATGTTTTTATGAATATATATATATATATATACATATTCCGTTCCATTATATTTTTTTACAGTGGTAGTAAAATAGAATTAAAATTTCAATTGTAAGCAAAAAATTGCGTTATATTTTAAAAAGCTTCAGGTGACAACCATGACGACGATCTGGGTTTGGTGAGGTGCGTGCCCGCGTTAGCGGGCACTTGACCTCTTCATCTGAAATTTTTGCCCTAGGGCGACTGGTATTATTGGCATAGGAAAGGATAATGGAGGAGTACAAGGCAGTTGGCGGCTCGAAGTATCTGCATGAGCAGCTCAAGTCATGAATAATTAAATTAATATTGGTAAAGAATATACAATTGAATAATGAAAATAATAATAATAAAATATGTACAATTAAAAATAGTACAAGTCTGAAAATTGAAGGGAAATATATACATTATTTACAATATATACATTTGTGAGTCTCTGTTAGTACGACGACCCGGCCGTCCCGGTAGTCCACCGCTCGTGCCGGGTTGCTCATCGTTCTGAATTTAATAGACCTACAGCTTGCCCAGATGGGACCCTTCAGGTTAGCTCCTTCCCCGGGTTCGCTGTAGGCCTAGTGTCATAGCTGTGTATGTTTGTGTGGGGAGGACCTTATCTGTTGTACCTTCGTGAAAGTATACCGTCGGATAGCAGGAAGTTTATAATAGGGTTGTGGCTCCTACTATCTTGGATAAGTTCTTTGTCCATAATATTCTTATAATTTACAGTATTTGTGTTTTTAGCACTATGAAAAAAGCTAGCGCTCATTAGGTTAATATATTCGTTGACTGTCTCAATATTTAGATCTCTACGTATGTAATTATTTGGGATGTGCCAGGGGGCTCCAGTAATTCTACGTAGGAATTTATTTTGCAGTGTTTCCAATTTCTTGATCTGGCTGTTGGTGACACAGTTCCATGCAGGACATGCATAAGTGAGAATCGGTCTTATGCAACTTAAATAAAGGTGCCTTTTTAAATGTAATGGCAGCTTTGAGCTTGAGTTAAGTAAGGGTCTCATGCTGGCGAAAGCAGCTTGTGATTTTGTAATAATTTTGCTAATGTGGTCATTCCAGTTAAGTCTGTGATCCAGGGTAAGCCCCAGGTAATCAGCTTTATTTACGACAGGAATGTTGTTGGAGAAAAGACAACCATGATTGATTGATTGATTGATATGAGTGGAATCTCGGTGTTAAGCGCGAAGCGCTTCTAACCGATTCATCTATACTGTTTTGGCATTTAGTCCAGAGGTCATATACAGTTCATAGTTCTAAGTTAGGATCAGATAATAAGTCCATGATGAGGTGAGGCATGAGTTGATTCAGTAGTACATCAGTTGTATGGGGAATTCCCCTGGATTAAAGTTGTGAGAAGATGCAGTACGTCTTGGTCCTTCAGCAAGTCTTTAAGTTCACTGATGAGGCTAACAAGTCTGTGGGCTGTAGAAGTAGTCGTGTCCTTGGTCGTTTTTCTCTTTCGACTGGGACGGGCCTCGCACCCAGTGAAATTTGAGGTGTGGTTTTGCATGCAGTTGCAGCATTTAGCTGGGGAGTCTCGGCTCTTTCTGCACTGGAATGAATAGTGCCCAGACAACCATGATAATAACGCATATTAATCTATATGCTTAATTTTTTTGAGAATAGTGGTGATCAAAATCATTTAAAAAATAAGTTTATAAAAGAAAAAAAATAGTATATATTTACTACCACTTTAAATATAAAAATAAAATTTTACGCGAAATGCGTAAAAGTTGGCAGGTATATATATATACATATATGTATATATATATTCAAGACTGGCCCTCCTCGGTCCATGTATATGTTATGTAAAACTGTGCGTGTGAAATGTAAGTTTGAAAGATATCAAATGTTGGGCTGAATGCATTTCGTGTGCTAGGGCAACACCATATCCCTAAGGAAAGAGGCAGTAATTGAGCTACATTTAGTATTGTCATCAATTAATTCTATATCTAGGAGTGAGTTAAAATTACTGGTGATGTAAGTTTTTGCATCATCGTAAAAATTTGTATTTAAATTTTTAATATAGACATTGATGTCATAAATTTCTAGATCCCTTTTTATACTATTATTGCTAATGCATTTAGGGGAGCCGACAAGTCTTCTAATGATCTTCCCTTTTGCCATAGAGAGTTTATTTCTTAAATTTTCTCAACTTCTCCAACGCATCTGGTACTGCTGATTAGGAATTAGCTTTTAAAAAAGAAGTAGCACTCAATAGATCCACTGAAAGATATTTTTGTTTTAGACGGCAGACACTCTGTACCATGTACTAGTCCTTCGATTTGTATGAAAGAAAACATTCCTGTACACCATGGCGCTTTACCTTATCAACTAGAATCTAGATCCTTATCAACTATTCTACACTGAAATCTAGATCTAGTATTGAATGCTTTGGTGTTATGCGCGAAAACCTCTTTACTAATATATCTTTTTGATTTTGATAGCAATAAAAACGTTGGTCTTCATGACAGGGCTTTTGCAGAGATAGAATATTTTCTCTTTTATTAAAAGTTTGACTTAAAAAAAATTATAATTTGAAGGAGTTATTGAATTTTTTAGTCTCTTGTGTAAACGGAAACATATAAAAATGTTTTTATTTAAGAGAGAAATTTTTAGATAATTTGAGTACTAACGAAATAATCTCTTTTTGTTTTTGCTTGGTTAGGGTGAAACAGGACCACCAGGTCCTGATGGACAACCCGGATCTCCAGGTGTTCAAGGGGATAGAGGAGCACCAGGCCCACCAGGACAACAAGGCTTCCCTGGTCCAGTCGTGAGTAAACATTTAATTAAATTGATATGAATGTCAATAAATATGTTCGAAAATTTTAAGGTCAATGATTCTTGTAGGGATTGCCTGGAGCAACTGGAATTAAGGGAGCTCGAGGACTTGCAGGACCAAAAGTGAGTAAAGTGTTTTAATTCAAACCTGGAAAACTGCTTACTAAATAGTTCATTTATAATATGAAAAAAAAATTTATTCCCTCATGACTTTGACGTCTTTTTTTTCGTTTTAGGGGGACCAAGGAAATGTTGGACTTCCTGGATCACCCGGAGAAACTGGACCCCAAGTACATTTCATTTCTTTGACTTTAACCATTAACTTAAATTTCATTGCATAGACTGAATTAAATTTTTCCATTATTAAATATTTGTGCTATAACGCTGTTTCAAGTTTTTTTTTTTTTTTAATTAAATTAATTATCCCAGATTCAGTATAGTTTTGTTCTTTTTCTTTATTAAAATCTAAAAAAGCTACATAATAAAAGCCAAAGAAAAGTAAAACGTTCCTGTTAAAAACTTATTGTAAACCATTGTCTTCTTATGTTGTTTTCCTCCATTCTTTTCTTTTTTGTTCAGCTTGGAGCCAAATCAACTTGGCGTGAGCAATTTTATTAATCGTAGATAAAATAAGTACATGCATAGCACATATAAACAGAATCATATTTTAACGAGGTTAATGTCCTTTTTTATGAAAGTCAGAATTACAAAATTTAGATGAATAGTCTTAATCAGTGGTTCCCAAAAAGGGTTCATGGGACCATAGGGTTCCATAGAAAGATCAAAAGGGTTCCGAGAACTAGAATCTTACTAACCAGCAATGATTTTTGAAACATTATTTTTTTTCCAATGCCCACCTGTGTTTACATTTTTCGTCAATTCAGGCATTTACAGGGCAATTTTTTTGGCCTCTCTTTCAAGGGCACCATATTAGGTGGGCCAACGTTGCTCCCACAGCAAGGACAGATAGTACAGAGAAGGAAAGAACATCCTTGCCTTGCCCAGGATTCGAACCTGGAACCTTTCTGATGCAAGGGTAGTTCCCTGACCCCTACACAGGCCGGTCGGCTGATTTTTGAAACATGCAATTAGTATATTTATATCCAATCATTTAAACTGAGAACAACTTTTGTTTTTGTTACCAGTTGCGCGTGAGACTTTTCAACTCATCTTAGATAATCTCACACTGCTGATTTCAAATATGTTGTCGGTTTCTCTCTACAAGCAACAATTTTCGTGCAATTTAATAATATAATCCGAAACAAGATTTTTGAAAATCACTCAAATGACTAACAACTGCCTCCACTTCTCGGATACATGAGGCATGGTAAGAAGAAGGCGATAATATTTTTTTAGTTTATGATGGGATTCATTAATTCTATTTTTTTTTTTGTATTAAGTGTTATTTTATATTAAGTTAGTATATTAAGTGTGTGTAAACCTATACGTTCATTATAAGCTTCAAACAAAAAATAAACTAAGCACTCATACAAAAAATAAACTTAACTTAAGAAATCTGGAGCTTTCCGAACAAAACTAATTCCAGATTTGAAATCCCCACTCCCGAATTAGGTAGACACAAGTGTTTGTATAAATTAAACAAAAAAAAATTCCAGTGTAATCCATAATATATTTAATATTTTATTTGTTTATATAAAATAAAATGCCAAAAAAGTATAAATAACAATATATTGACAATAATTGAATAACAAAATAAATCATTGAATAACAAATTAAATAACAATAATTGAATAAACTACGACATCTATAAAAAAAATCCTTCAGTATTTCTCATCGAAGTTTTCAATTAAAAAATTCACTAATAAGCACAGTTAATAACAGTTAAAAATTCACTAATAATAACAGTTAAAGCAACCACATTCACTAATAAAGGATTATGTATGTTTGATAATCATTCTCAACCTTTATATTAGTTCTTTTTCAAACACAATAATTCAGCCTATTTTATTCGTTTTCAGTTCGTGCATTTACTAAGAACAGTGCAAATACTAAGGTCGTGCATAGATTCAGGTGGCACTCCAGACCTGTTATTTTATCTCTGTGATGTATAGCCTAATTTAGGATTAGGTAAATAATTCACGAAAAAAAATTAACATGATGACGCGAAAAAAAATATTTCATTCTTCACTTTAAGTATTTTCAAAGCAGTTTTTCTTCAGTTAGAATACTTACAGCTGATAGTAAACTTTATTTATTAAAATGCGATTCTTCTGGAAGAAGCTCAATTATTCAGAGTTCCATAGTCGAAAAACATTAACCACTGCTCTACATAACTGAAAAAAATAATGAATCGGAAAACTTAAAAAGAAAACAATGAATTGAAGAGAGACTTAAAAGGAACTTATTACAGAAATCTGAGAGGGTTGAAACTTTAATAGAAACTTATTATTTAAATCTGGTAATTTGAAATATGATCTAAATAAGGAATCGATACCACGTTTAAGCAATAAACATACTATTAAAGTAAAAAAAAAAATTTTTTTTTTAAAGATTCGTGGGTAATTTTAAATATCAAAGTAATAATTGTTTCAAATATACTGAAAAACTGTTCAATATTTTTTCCTTATCTTTTTTTTTTCCTTTTCTTTTTATTTTATTGTATCACTATTCTTTTTAACAGGGACAGCCAGGACTTCGTGGACCAAAAGGTCCAAGAGGAGAAGAAGGAAAAAAAGTAAGGGACATTCTGTATTCAGAAAAACTCTTTTAAAATATATATTAGGAATAATAAAATCTGTATTAACTAACATCAAGTAAATAATTTATAATACTGTTTGGTTTTATTTTTTATTGTCTAAAACCTAAAGCAATAAATAAAGGCTATGAATGTGAATAAAGCTCACGCATGAGCATAAACACGCGTAGACTAGTATCGGTTCTGTAAAGAACCTTCCTTCGAGTCAAAACAGAATTAAAGCAATGCAGGCAAATAAAGAAATAAACTTACCCAAAAAGGACCGCTTAGTCTAGAATTTTCAATTGAATATAGGATATTGTACTTTGAGTTGCATATGAATAAAGCTAAGCTTTGTGCTACACGTGAATAAAACTGAAATTTGATATATGAATAGAGGTAAGCTATGTTCTTCTTACGACTAAAGCTATCTGTTTATGTGCTTTTATTTGTGTTTTATTCACGTTTTTAAGTTATGATAACATTTAACTCAGAGTATTCTCTGGCTTCATTTAAACCAATGCGTTCATATTACATTAACTTAGCATTCTACCCACAGAAGACATTATCTCATTTATCAGAATTGATAATTAATGTGTGTTGATACCTTGCTCAACAGTTAATCTGAGTTGAGTATTAAGTAATTTAGCCCTTAGAGCAACCACCTACACCTATTGGAAAAATGTATTATTGAAATTGGCAATATGTGTTTTGTTTCTAGTAGTTAACCACATACATGTAAAACTGTTAATTAGGAGGTTTTGTCTGAAAATAAGTTTCCCGGGATGACTGAGGAGACAAGAAGTATAACCAGACATAAGATAAGACCAAAGATAAGATGTAAATTCACCCACTTTCTCCTTTGACCACGCACATTCAAAACGCACCTTCTCTCCATATCCACCGAGACCAGACTTAAAGGCTCGTCTTCGTTTTGCGTAGAGCTAAAACGCCGCAAACTACTTGGTTGCGGTCAAACGATACTTCCTCCTCTCTGTATGCGTCGCATGCCATGTGACAAAGAGGAAAATTGCGTCATTGAAATTGAATTCGTCGCTATTTCACGTCTTTTTAAATCCTGCGATTATTTTTGTATTTCTGAATATAGCTAAGAGATGGCGCAACTAATCCCACTTTTTTCGCAGTGAGATTTTCCGTCTTGAATTGAAATCGAAATCGTTTCGTACTTTCTGTAATTTCGCTTTCATTAGTGTTGAGATTATTCATTAGTATTACAATTATTTCATTTCATTAGTATTGAAATTGATTATAATTAATTAATTATCAGTATTATTTTTTAAGATAAAAGCTAGAGATCAACAGATGAGGCATCACACATTTCACCACCAATAAGACAAGCAAAAAACTGCCTGCTGACAAAAACATTTTGCATTTTCGAATTAAGGTTAAAACATATATTAATTTTCAGCATTAAAAAAGTCTTTTTTTGGGGGGTGTTAGGAAATTCGAAAAAAAATTCAACAGAGAAGTGGTTAATAGTGTATGGATATCACTATAATTATCTGCTGTGTTATTCCCCCCCCCCATTTTTGCTCAATTTCATGAGGAAAACTAGAGGGGAAACTCATTACCCTCCTACGTCCACACTCTCGTAGATCTTGTATAAATAAAAAATAAATATTGTTTTATTCTAAATATAACCAATTTTCAAGAAGAATTTTAAAAAGTTTTATTGTACAATAAATTTTTTATCTGTTTTTAAAAGAAATGTGTTAACAAATTCAATGATATTAAATTAATAATCTGTCATAAATTTTAAGTGAAAAATTATTGTGATTTTAGGGAGATGCCGGCTTCCCTGGAGCACCAGGCCGTCCTGGAGAACCTGGTCATCCTGTAAGTATTGAATTTAAATTGTTGGAACTAGATACAAGTGATTCAATATCTGTGTTATTAAAAAATAAGACTCTTTTTAAAAATCAGATTTGTTTGGATAAAACAAACTATTACAGGTTTCCGTGGAAAATAAGCCTAACAGATGTTGTCAACAATTAATAAGCAAGTTTTAAAAACTTAGTTGATTTTAAATGTAATATTACACTTAATTAAGTCTTCAAATGTTACCAACTTCTAACCTATAGTCATAGCAGTAGCGAAAATATTGATTTATTAAAGAATTTTACAAATAATAATTACGAAGCCAGTTTACGTCAGTGGTAATCAAAATAAAGGGTGTTTCAAACAAAAATGAACCATCTATGTAGGGAGTTCCTATATGACTACCCGTAACATAAATTTTTGAAAAACTTGTCAAAAATAAAGTTAAAAAAATATTCACATAAGAAATCACAAATTAATATTTAATGCGGAAAAAAACAAAAACACTATCAAAATATTGCGAATCATTACTGAGGAAGACGGAATTGCCTAAAAATATCATAATATCTTTAATTGCCAGAAGGAAAACCGATAGGTTTCATCAGGCAATCAAACTGATTTTGATTTTTTGATTCACACTTTTCTCACTTATTATTCAATATATATCTTTTATGCTTTTACCATGTTTAATTATTAATTTGTGACCTCTAAAATTTATATATATTGTTTTACTTCATTTTTGACATGCATTTTAATAATATGTATTAAGGGTTGTCAGTATGGAATATCGTGTAGACTACTAAAGAATAACTACCTTCGATTGAGATTTCTTAAACTACATAGCTCAAGGTGCATAGATTAAGAAACTAAATTTTAAATGAGGATCTTCACGAAATTAAAATTAGTTATATTAATTGAGAACTCTACAAGACATAAAAAAGGTAGAAGACAAATCATCATTGTTATGAAAAAGAGCTGCGTATGTAAATTTAGTGGGAAGGAAATACTCTGAAGTAATGAATATATGTTGGACAAAAAATTTTCTAGATGTAATCAATTAATAATGATGAAAAATTATCACATACGTTACTAAATATTGCTCATTGAAGAGGCATATTTTTAAGACTTTTTTTTAAAAATGCACGTGGTATCTTGAAATTTTTTTTTCTTTTTGCTATTTTATTGTACAGTTAATATACAAAAAGAAAAAAATTTCAAAACACTAAGTAAAGCCACTACCCCTAAAAGAAAACTTTAAGTAAATTCGCACAATATTGAAACAAGGTTTGAAGACAAAATATCGTGATACAGAATCTCCCACAAGCATAATACCAATAGACAAAAACTCAAGTAAGCAAAACATCGGGGACCAGAATCTCACGCAGACATTATGCGGTTTCGTAAAAAAAGAACATCCAGAAATAATATCACTAGAAAGAATATCACAAGGGCATAATAACGTCGGACAAAAGTTCATGTAGGCAAAATATTTCCAACAAACATAATATCCAGAGATATAAATTCAGATAGATAAAATATCGTGAAACAAAATCTCACAAGAATATATTATCAATGGGCAAAAGTTCGGGTAAACAAAATACCGTGTGTTAAACATAAAAACGAGGGACAAAAGCTCAAATAGATAAAACATGGTAGTACAGAAACTCACTCATGCATAATACCGAAGAACCAAAGTTCAGAAATAAAAATGCCATAGGACAAAATCTCCACAAACATATTAACGAGGGGCAAGAGCTCGGTTAAGCAAAATATCATAGGATAAAAACTCACACATGCATAATTATGGAGGTACAAAATGTACCAAATAAAAATGCCATAAGACAGAATATTACAAATGCATAATACTGAAGGGCAAAAGTTCAAATATACAGAAGAACATCTCGCAAACACCTAGGAACAAAATTTTTCGTAAATCTCGTGCGGACAAAATACTTATCTTTAAAAATTTTATTATAGTAGCATTTTTCGCACACACGTTCGAAAACAGACCAAACATAAAACGTAAAGCCATTTTTTGTATACTTAGTAAGAGTTTAAAATAAGTACTCTGAGATTTTTAGAACCGAGTATAGAGAATCAATATTATAAAATTTGTTTTTGCTCTTTTTCAACATAACACGATGTTGAGTATTTTGTTTTTCTCATAGCTTCGAATAATTGCTTTTTCTCTTTTTCAACATAACACGATGTTGAGTATTTTGTTTTTCTTAAAGCTTCGAATATTTGTTTTTGCTCTTTTTCAACATAACCCGATGTTGAGTATTTTGTTTTTCTTATAGCATCGAATATTTGTTTTTGCTCTTTTTCAACATAACACGATGTTGAGTATTCTATTTTTCTTACAGCTTCGAATATTTGGGGTATTTATAAATTATTGTTGTTTTACAGGGTTCACCTGGTAATCCCGGACCATCTGGACCGCCTGGAATAACTGGAATAAAGGTAGGTTTAAAGTTAAATAAACACACTTTCAACTTTTTACTTTAATTAAATAAAAATTTGTTTTATGGATATTTCCTATATTCCTACTAACAGTTGAAAAAAATTAAGGTTAAATTTGTCGTATCGGTTTACTTTTTCATTTCATTTATATTTTGAAACACTGATACTTAAAAAAAATATTTTAAATATCATTTTAATTTTGTTAAGAAAGCGGATTTTTTTTAAATGGATTTAATTTGACTGTACCGAAATATGGTCTGTGATTTTAAGATAAATTTAGATTGAAATGATCTAATTACAATATAAATTCTTGCTTGTTAAATTGTTTGGAGAAAAAAAAATGAAATAGTATGATTTCAAAGTCTTTACTTCAATGGTTTAAAGATAGAAAGAAAAACTACATCAAATTCTAAAACATAAAAGTGCACCATGCAGTAAAAAGAAAAAAACGCAACAAGCCCTTAAATAAGTAATATTTAAAGGTAAAAATTTTTATTATTGTTATAATTATCATTATTTGCAGTTATTAATTCACAGCCAATTGACATTAATCAATTGACATAATTACTCAAGAATTCGGAAAAATAGTAATGTATACGTGAATTTATAATATTCTCCCAATCAATTGTGATACATTATTATAAGAATTCTATAATATTCTTATAATATTCTATGTATGAATTACAAGATATTAATATGAAGTTTGTAACTAATATATTAAGTGTTTAATTTAATACCAAATTACTTAGTATTATTTCTGTATTTTGTCATTTTAAAGCCTTATAAACACCAAAAGGTATAATAAAATGAACATAAATTATTTGTTATACGCTTTAAAGCATATCCTGTTTAGTTCAGTTTTGAAATCAAAATTTGTAAAAATAATATGTAATAATAAGATAAATAGCATTTTATTTGTAAGAATGAACATTTTTCATACCTACCAGCTGCAACAGAATTTTTGTAGCACATCTGAAATGTATCCCTTTACTGTCGAGGCTATTTCTAAGTTTGAAAAAAAAAAGAATGTGACCATTTAAAGTATCAAACAATGAACTCAATATTTACACAAACATATTTAACACACATTATTTTAAATATGTCCCACTAAATATAGAGGTTACTAATCTAAATAAGGTCCACTAAATATAAGGGCTACTAAACTAAATAATGGCCCACCAATTAAGGGATTTCTAAACATTAAGATATAAATATTTTAGCATTTAGAGTGTCAATGGTAACCAAGAGGCACATCTCGAGTGCAAAATATCATTTATTTCAGCAATAGGAAAGGAGTTTTGGTCTTGATTTCAAAAAATTTTACATGAAAAAATACTAAAAACATAGATAAAAAAAGATCAAATTTTAATCAATTCATAAGGCTCTTAGATGCTTTGGAAATCTTAAAAACAAACCCATTTATTTATTTTTTTATTATTTTCTTTAATCTTATGAAACTGTTAATTTTAGGGAGCCCCTGGTGATAGTGGTAAGCCTGGAAATCCTGGACCACCTGGCAATCCTGGGCAACCAGGATTTCCTGGTCCCAAAGGAGAAGCGGGATCTGAAGGAGTACCTGTAAGTATGAAATTTATATTTTACGTATAAGTTACGCATTTTATGACCTAAAATGTTTAAAAGAAATTTTAATAAATAATCCACAATGTATTATTATTTTTTTTTTTACTTTCTTAGGGTTTGACTGGTCCTCCAGGACCCGCTGGTCCAGCCGGAGATCGAGGATTGCCTGGTATTCCTGGTGTACAAGGTCGACCTGGTCCTCCTGGACCTCGAGGATCTCCTGTAATTTTTACATTCCTGTGATATTCTTATTATAATCCTAATTTATGCACGCCGCTGAAAATTTTCAAAAGGTTTCTTTGAAGTGTTTATAACTATATTTATAAAGGCTTGCATTACATCCGCAGTGCATTGAGTTGGCCAGGGGTGGACAGATATAGGCCCACCGGCAACAGGCAGTTCAATTACATTTTTTAAGAGCAACCATGAGAGTTAGAAAAATTTACTTTGAACAGGGGTGTAGTTGAGAGGATACGAGGGGGAAAGGCATACACCCCAAATCACATCTTTTTCAATAAATTCCCATTTCTGCCAATATTACAGTTTTTTATTAATTGCAAATTTCATTTGTTTCTTTAACTTTTTTATGTACTGTAATTTATTTTATTTTTTCTAAAAATTGGGTAAAAGGTAAAGTTCTTCATCGCTTTTGGCTTCTGCTTAATGCGCAATGCCAAAGCTAACAGTCAAAGAACTACAAAGAGAAAAAAATTGCATTAAAATGGTTATATAATATTAGTTCAGTAAATTAATTTAATAAAACTGTTACTATTGAACTTAATTTATATCTATTGATTTGTATGGCACAATGTATACCTTTTCAGAAAGGCAAAGCTAACTACGGAATGCAGTATGTAATCAATTTAAAAGGGGCAGCCCTCCGCCAACCCCCCACCCCACTTTCACAAAATAGCCCCCGCGCTAAAACAAATGCTCACCCCTGGAATCTTTAAGTATGGTTAAATAACAATAAAATAAAGGTTTTGCAGTTTATAATATATTTTACCTTAAATTATCAATATGTCCATGCATGTTTTATTAATATTTTCCACCTATTTTTACATATAGAAATGATTTTTAGAAAATTATTAGAATTAATTTTAGAATAATTTAATTTTATTTAATTAATTTGTATTCATAAAACTACATTAAAAAATACCATTTTTTATTATCAGGGTGATCGTGGTATGGAAGGTAAAAGTGGCTCTGATGGACCTCCTGGAGCTCAAGGTCTCCGTGGGCCTCCTGGACCCCCAGGACCATCTGGAGAATCTGGACCACAAGTAAGTAAATTAAAATTTTAAAGAAGTCTTATTTCTTAATTAAATAAAGAACAAGCAGTAAACTTCTTATTGTGCAAAATTTTTATTCATATTGTCATCATATTAATCATTTATAATCATATTATAATCATTTATAATCATATTATAATCATTTATCATCATATTAAAATCATTTATAATCACATTTATAATCATCTATAAAATCACTTTTGCACTAATAAATTAAACTATTTTTTTCTGTAGTTTAACATACATTAACAAATATTAATTTTATCCATATTTTTTTCATATTTCACCTTTTTTCATTTTCAGCATTAACGTTTCACGCAATATAGCCAGCTCTCGGGATGTCAAACTTTCTTTAGATTAAAAATATCTTATAGATTAAAATGTCTGCAGATTAAAATATGTTTATATCACAAATGACTTATTTGTTTGTGACTGATTAGAGTATGAATTTAATGTTATTGAGAGTATTGCAACCACGTATTATTGTGCATCAATGTTAGTGAAAGCAAATTTTATTTGGAGAAACATTGACTAAAATTTATTTAGATAATGTTATAAAGTGTATTTGTTTTTCGTTGATTAAAATATTAATGAACTCTTATTACTTACATGCACTTTTTTAAATCATTTTTAGGGCCATCCTGGAAAAGAAGGACAACCTGGAATATCTGGAAGACCAGGAGATAAAGGGCCACCAGGACCTGCTGGAAACCCGGGACCACCTGGAATACAAGGAATTCAAGTAAGATTAAATATTACTTATTTTTCAAATAAAACATAGCATTTTTACTTTATATTTAATGATACTTCATTGCATTTTATTGATAATGATTTATTGATAATACAATTTATTGACAAATAATTGGACAATGAAAATTATTTACTAACCAAATACAATATAAAAAATCATTAAATTTCTTTTATTAAAGGGACCACCTGGACCCCTTGGCCCAACTGGACCCGTAGGAGAAAGAGGTGAGCGAGGAGAAACGGGACCACGAGGAGTGCCGGGACCACAGGGTGTTAGGGGTCAACCAGGACCCAGTGGACCAGCTGGAATGAAAGGTGAACGTGGTGATGCTGGAGAACAAGGCATGAAGGGTCATCGAGGTCTAATTGGTCTTCAAGGAATGGCTGGACAACCTGTAAGAACTCTTCTTTTATATTCCGTTTATGTACTGTGAAATATTAATTTTATTACAGCGTTTATTATTTTCTAATTCTAATAAGGTTTGCTACACTTAAGTCACGAAGCAGTGAGATTGTGCATAATTTTAAGCCCTAAGACTTACCATTTAATTACTTAATTTCTTCAATTCATATAAGGTGGAATAATTAAGTGAAATAAAAATTATTTTATACTGGAGGGGGAAAATGAAAACTCATATTTTGAATGATATTGTTGCAGTTTACCATACAGAGAAAATTTTGTGGTTTATTCCACAAGATTAGTTGTAAAATTTGAAGGAAGCTAAACTTTTCCAAGAAAATATGAGATCTATATTATATTTTTAAACCTTATAAATGTTTTTAATAATTGGAATAATGACCACTGCCTCGTGAATCCTCTGTAAATTAACAATGTGGCTTTATAAATTAGACCAATTTATAAAACCACATTGTTAATTTACAGGGGATTCACGCTCAGCGGTCATTATTGCTCAGTGGTCATTATATTATTTTTAGGAAAAATGTAACTTTTTGCACATTTCTCATTTCGAAATAAATTCATATCTTTTGGTTAAGCTACAAAAGAAAAATAATCTAGTTTGTCAATGAGCTAATCGGGGTGACTTCTTTTTTATATTAATATTAATTATAATTAAAGGACAAGTTAAAATTAGATCGAAGTAAATAAGATCTTACATTATTAGCAGTTTTTAGTATATTTCAATAAAGTAGCTCAAATTATTGGCCATTTCCATTTTTAAGATGAATTTTAAAATTGAAGCTACATAAACGAATATTAGAAATTAAATTTTTAAGAGTTTTAAATTTGAAAGTTTAAATTGAGCGCGAGGAATGAATATCAATTTACAACAATATCTTGATTTTCCCCCGCTTCATCGGTAATCCGTTAGCAAGTTTTGAGGAATCGGTAATCCGAAATGAAATTACTTCCGTGTAGCGAAATGTTGCCAATCTCTCAATTTCACTATCAAATAAAAATTGCGAGTTTATCTCGTCTTTTAAATTGCATTATAAAAGCCAATTTTTTGTAAGTTCTTCATAAACAAGATCCAGAATCTATGTTACTTCACCACCGAATATATTATCGCCATAGGTTGCGTGATATTGTATAAAAAGATGATTCATTACCGGAATTGAGATTAGCCGTTAGATTCACTATGTGAATAAAATGACGAATATCTTGTACTTGCAAGAGATCCGATACTTTTTTTTGGTAACCTGAAAATGTAAATAATAATACTGATCATGAAATTTTTCAAATCAATATCTGAACTAAGTAAAGACTTATAGCATATAAATAGATTTTCACAAAATATTTATCATGAAAAAGTACACACTTGTGTGTTTTTTTATTTATTTCAATCTTTTAATTGCCATCTGTCTATTTATTGCTCTTAATTTCTTAACACGCCAGTTCATATAACAATTTTCACTTGCAGGGTGTTTCTGGTGAGAAGGGCATGACAGGACCTCCTGGCCCTCCTGGAATGGAAGTAAGTTTCATTTTATAATTCATTTTATAATTCATTTCATCATTATTATTCATTTCAAGATTTTATAAAGTTCATAATAAAAGGACTGATAAACTAAAGGGTTCAGAAATCTTCTTTAGATTTTTTTTTAATTCCAATGAGCTGCACAATCAGTCTTCCCGATGAGCAGACCTAGTGCGATCTCCAGAAGTGGTATCCACTCTTTCAGGACCACCACAATGGGTGATATACCGTTGGCCATGTTAATTTAGATGTCTAGTTTCTGCCACACTAGATGGCAGCACCGAGACTCTATTTGGATGCTAAAGTGCAGGCGATATCTAAATCTTCTTCAGATATCCCCTTGTATTCTCCTTCCATTTAAGACGCATTAATTAAATAATGCTCTTTTTTGGAGGAAGATTAATAGCCGCTCATAGGTTGTTGGTCCTTCTTTTGACCGAGCATTGTTCGAAGATTTTACAGCTGTAGTAAAAAATAAAACACATTTAACTTACACTGATCTTAAATATACCAAAAACCAGTGCTACTAGGTCGTCTCCTCGTTTGAATTAAACTCTGAAGCAGTTATTAAATCGTAGTTACAATACAAAACAGGTGATCAGAACTGTTAAGCGGCCCAAAGATTTATGTATATGAATACAGAAGTTTGGGTTTTCAAAATTAGAAAAAGTAGAGAATACGAAGGAAGGTTATCTTTAAAATAGAACTGCCAGAAATACACTCTATAACAAAAAAATCGACGCACCAAGAAGGAGTTGTCCGATTGAAACGANGCCCTCCTGGAATGGAAGTAAGTTTCATTTTATAATTCATTTTATAATTCATTTCATCATTATTATTCATTTCAAGATTTTATAAAGTTCATAATAAAAGGACTGATAAACTAAAGGGTTTAGAAATCTTCTTTAGATTTTTTTTATATTTCCAATGAGCTGCACAATCAGTCTTCCCGATGAGCAGACCTAGTGCGTTCTCCAGAAGTGGTATCCACTCTTTCAGGACCACCACAATGGGTGAGATACCGTTGGCCATGTTAATTTGGACGTCTAGTTTTTACTACACTAGATGGCAGCACCGAGACTCTATTTGGATGCTAAAGTGCAGGGGATATATCTAAATCTTCTTCAGATATCCCCTTGTATCTTCCTTCCATTTAAGACGCATTAATTAAATAATGCTCTATTTTGGAGGAAGAATTATAGCCGTTCATAAGTTGTCCGAAGATTTTACAACTGTAGTAAAAAATAAAATACATTTAACCCTTTAATAGGCCCTTTATTTCTAGTAAAGGTAAATTAAAGTATTTTTGGAATTGAAATTGTTTTAAGAACAGTAATTGATAAAAAAAAAACTCATTTAGTTTAAAAAAATGCCATTTTTTTGGAGGTAAATATATTTAACATGACCTATTAGGATTTTACTGACTTTTATTTTTCTTTATTTATAAAATAAAGTCCTTAAATGCTACAAACTTCAAAAGGAATTATGTATTTTATAACTTTTATACGTTTTTTAAAAGTGACAAATGGTTACCAATTTTATTCAAACTCATTTCAAGAGAGCTGAAGTTATTGAAAAATGGAAACCTAAATTAAAAGTGGTAAAACGTGGTGGTAAGTATACTTACCACGGCCTTCAAAAGGGTTAACTTACACAGATCTTAAAAATACCAAGAACCCGTGCTTCTAGGTCGTCTCCTCGTTTGAATTAAACTCTGAAGCAGTTATTAAATCGCAGCTGCAATACAAAATAGCTGATCAGAACTGTTGAGAGGCGCAAGGATTTATGAATATGAATGCAGAAGTTTGGGTTTTCAAAATTGGAAAAAGTAAAGAATACGAAGGAAGATTATCTATAAAATAGAACTGCCAGAAATAGTATGAGTCAGTGCGGTTTATAAATTAAGTAATTAAAGATTTGATAAAGTTCATAATGAAAGGACTGATAAACTAAATATTAATAGATCGATCGATAAACCAAATCTGCGTTTCCTTGTTTTACAACGTGTTTAACACAAAAATATTCAAGATTTAAAAAAAAAGGCATTTAATTTTTGCTGTTATGAACATTTTCATTTTCCGTAATTGCTATTCTAAGATGATGAAGTAGTGATTTCCTGTATTAATGTATAATTGTTTTGGATGAGATAGAAAAAACAGTTACTATGTTTCTTAATAATTGTTTTTGAAACTAAATTTTAAATTTTTATGCTTAGTGAATCATAGTTACGAAATTTTGCACAATCATAAGTCTGAAAAGACTTATGATTGTTTGAAAAGTAATTAAAAAATCAACTAATCTATGAAACTTCTAACAATTCATAAAAATTTCAAAATTTAATCAAATACAACTAGAGTGTTCTAAAGCATCAGAACAAAACTCGAATGATATAAAAAATAAAATAAATAAGTAAAAATATAAACATAGTTACTGTATTCAAATGTTTATAAAATTTCGATAAATTGTCTTCAGAAAATACACTAACTAGTAAATTTCCTTTCAACGTTAATTTAATATAACGTTAATTGCTCAAAAAAATTTATTTTTTGACCAACTTATTTACTTACTATTCTACTACTTATTTAGTTCTGTTATATGATTCATATATTTGGTAACCGTTAATTCATTTATTTAGGGTCCTCCAGGATCTAAGGGTCCCCCTGGTAGAGATGGAAGTCCAGGAAATCCTGGTTTAATAGGTCCCGTCGGTCCTAGAGGTCACTCTGGTGATTCTGGCAAGCCAGGTCCAGTTGGAGCACCAGGGCCTCCTGGTTTACCAGGACCTCCTGGGGAACCATTCGGGTACGAAGCAAGTGCTTTGGCTGCCCTGTTTAGCCAAGGACAAATGAAAGTAAGCATTTTATTCACAATTGAAAACATTTGATTCATCAAATACTTTGTTTAAAAGAGCAGTTTTGACACAGTGGTTAAACCATTGTATGTTGTACACATTGTGTGTTAACGCATTACAGTGGTTAACAGACAATAATTAACACACACTTCACACAAAAATTCATTTTTGAAAACGTAAAATGTTTTTATGCAATCTTTGCAATCACACAAAAGTTTAAAAGTTGGAAGCAAAACTATTTTTTTCTTTCTATTTTTCAAAGGAAATAATTCATTTTGTGGTAACCAGAATTATACAGTAAATTATTCAAAAAATACATTCAGTATTCAATTGCATGGCGTAAAATTTTTTTAAAGTGAAATTGTAGGCATAGTGGCAAGTTTACTCGAACTCTTAAGAAATTCACTTCTTTATGGAAAGAAATCCACCATTTTACGGATTAGTTGTCCACATGAAATGTGTTAAAACGTTGAGAACAACCGAGGTTCCATCCTTGGTGACGGATGTAGCTCGGCCAACTTCTGATCGATAGACACCATTTGAAGATAGAGTCTTGAAAAAACAAGGCTAGGCCAAAGGCCATAGTTAGGTGGTGTGATGAACCAGCTATCCCCAAAAGAGTAAAGAAGAAAATATAGAAGATCTATGTTTTAGGGTGGAGTGAAAAAAAAAGTTTTCGATAATTGAAGAGCACTAATTCCCAAAAGTTATGTAGGGACTACTATATCACGTGTGAATTTTTTCAGATTTTTTAAGTATCATCTTCTCTTTCCGGAATAGCCCTAAAATTCTGAAATTTTTCAAAAAACATCAAATTGGTAAATTTTTTAAAAATTGTCATATAAAAACAATTTACCACTGAAAAGTTGTGCATTAAATGAAATATTACTAGTGATTTTTTCAAAATTTTTCTAGCATATTTTCCTTTTCTGCAATATTCTTCAACTCCGTAGCCTTGTAATTTTGAACCCAATCCAGAAGACAAGGGAACTCCTGGATTAAGTAGTAAGAAAAATTTTACTTTCGTGGAGGACTTTTTGACCAAACTAATCTGCACTTACATTACATGGAGAGGAAAAACACTAGAATCCCCAACGGTTATCCTGACGGCAAGGGGACTCTAATCCATGATTCGTCTAAAACTGAGAATATTTCACATCTGCACTGTTTTCGGTGCTAACCGGATGCGGAATTCGAATCAACCAGCCATCATCGGGATTCGAACCTGGTTCACTCTCATTGGAAGGTAAACGCTCTTTTCCATGAGCCATCGCGGCTCAGGCGGAAAGATTGTCTTCTTTTTACGTTACGCTCGTTACGCCATTCACTGCTGCACAATTTAGTGTATCACACACAATTTAGCACAATTTAGTGTATGTTATTCTTCCTGACGCACGGCAATTATGAAATGCATTTAAAAATTATGAAATTTATAGAAAACATCGCAATTAAATATCATTTATTTCCATTCAGGGTCCAGATCCAGCTTTAGGCGACGAACCAGACAAACTGTTTTCACCCGACACTCCCATTGAAGAGAAACAACGATTGGTGTTCGAGTTCTACGATAAACTTATTCAGGAATATGAAGAATTCAGGAAGCCCAACGGAGAAAAAAAGAATCCAGCTACAACTTGCAAAGATCTGTTTGTTGCCCATCCAGAACTACCAAGCGGTAAGTCACTTTATTATTAAGAAGCTCAGGTGAAAAATGAAATAAATTTGAGCGGGAAAACACAACAAATGAGAAAATAATAATAATAATGAATTCTAACATTTATTCCAAAGACAACTGTCAAAATATGGAAAGTTAGGTGGAAGTTTATCTTCCAACTGTATCAGAAGTGTCATCGCAATAAAGATTGAATTTTCATAAAAGTAACAAGGGTTATCCTTCACAAATTGAATTAATAAGTATTTTGGCTACCACTATCTATAATTTATTTAAATGCGTAGATTTCTAAAGAGTTAATAAAAAAAACTGAAAAAATTATATAATAAAAAATATAATATAATAAATTATATCCTATTAGTACATTCTATTGGAAGCGACATACTTCAGTTCTTCGTTTAAGAAATGGTCGTTTTTTAACGTGTTAGAAAGCAATTATTTTAACATTTCTAGTGGTTTTTGACATTTGTTGAATTAGCGTTGCACTACTGGATATACTGCACAGGAAAGGGTTAAATAATATTTTTTAGCATGTCATATCTTAATTACTTTTAATTTTCCTTCGGTTTGGATAAAAATTTAACAGTGTGTTACTAATGAATAACTGTCAACATGTACGGTCGTTGAGAAAAATTTTCATAATGGCAGCAACATTATACAGTTTTGACGTATAAAATCTTCCATTTAACCTATTAAAAAAATTTTAACCAACCACGACAAATCAATAATTAAAAAGTATATATATATATAATCAAAATATATTTAACTTTTATTATTAGATTTATTAGAAGTTTTTTTTTATTAAAATCCTATATGATATCTTTACTTATAAATCATTGCTTGAGCTGTGCACCATAGCATGCTAGTTCAACTGCCTCATTTATCTCTAATTATCTATGCCAACAGTCCTAGTTGCCCTAGAGCAAATTCCAGATGAAGAAGTGTGGTGGGCGCTCCGCGGGCTAGAACTTCACCAAAGATCTAAGTCACGTCCAGTCAATTAACTTAACTCTTACTTATCCAATTTTACATTTACGTAATAACTTTTCACCCCCTTCTTCCCTCATTGTCCAATCCAATTTCGATGAATGAGCAGATAGCCCTGCATGCTAGGTACGCTGAACTTAATGTTTATATCGGTAATTCAACCAGTTCTAACCTACCAAACCTTCTTTTCTTCTAGGAACCTATTGGGTGGATCCTAACCAAGGAGATCCTAAAGATGCCATCCAAGCTTTCTGCAATTCTGAAAGTAGAGCCACGTGTGTCTCAGCTAGACCTGAACAGGTTTGGTCTTTCTAAATATTTTAAAATTGAGAAATGAATAAAACTACAGTGCATTTTTGTTCTGTAGCACGAGATTTTAAAACAGATCGCAGATGCTTTTACATCACTGATTTGAAATCTGCAATCGGTTTCTTTTTACAAGTTTTTGTGTAATTTAGAAATTTGGTTCAAAATAGGATTTTTTAAAATTTACTCAAGTGACTCTTACGTGTCCCCAGTTCAGTGGTTCGTAGGGAGTGGTGTTAAGAATGATACATTTCACTTGATGTTGCTATACGTTAAGGTCATATGTTTTTTGCCTTTAGTGGTATTTTTAAAGGAGCAGACAAGTGTTTATATGTAAGCCTATATTTTCTTAATTAACTTGTACATTTAGACAAAAAATAAACTAAACTAAAGAACCATTTCGAAAACACCTGTTGCTTTCGGAAGAAATAATTTGTTCCTCCTAGTGTTTAGTTAGTTTCATTTTCGTTAAAAAATACAATCACTTCATATAAAATCTCATTTAATTTAAGACTTAATCTACGGCTAAACAAAAATTAATTTACTTATTATTATAAAGTTTCTTAAGCATGGTTGCTCCCATCAACCAAGCGGATATCTGACCTCACAGTGTTAAAGCAAACTGTAATACAAATCCATGCCCGATAGGGATAGAGGCCGCTCCTACTATAACTAAACATAGTTGTTCAAGAAATACTTAGTGCGACTAATCCAGACATGCTGGTGTTTACACAAACTTTTCAATAACGATACATATTCAGGAGTAGATTAGATAGAGTTATGTTAATTTAATGTAAACACGGGGGTAGTTTCGATTGAATAATTAGATTAAATCGATAAACTTAATTAGGTTTCTATCACTTCGTATATTTTTAGGCTCACGTATCAACCCTGTACTAAACTTTCAGTCAGATCTTCCCGTAAGTGCAATAAGTACCGATCGCTAAAATAAAATAACAAATACCCTGGATAATTTTTGATTTAATGATCGGATATAATATAATAGTGTAATAACTAAATGGTGTAACGAGATAGCTTTAAATTTGCTAATTAATTCGTGCAGGCCATATTTTCAGTTACGGAATCAAACATGAAAACGAACTTTCCCTGAATAAATGCACCTTAACTTTGAAAAACTTCGATTCTTGAATCCTCAAAATATAAAGGGTAGCAGCAATCTGAAAATACCGTCCTAAGTTTAGTCAGAAGAGGGTTCGAAATTCAGAACAGCTTAATGTTAATTTCACTTTCAGCGTATTTTGCCATGTCAAAGAAATTAAACTTGAAAAAATTTGCACGCCTTATAATTTACAAATTTTTTGACTATTAGTAAATGAAATAATTATAAAAAATAATATTTTATGTGGAATTATTTTTGCATAAATTATGTGGAATTATTTTGTATAACAAGCTTTAAAACAATGTAGAAAACCTTTTGAAATTGAAAAAATTTTGCACACAATTATAAAATTTTTTATTCAAACATAATTTCATGTAAGAAATAGATTTTAATAATTATTTTTCACAATTTTATTTAAAAAGTGTCTATAACTTTTTGCCTTATAATATTCCACGTTTTATTTCATTGTGTATTGCGTAATTCTAGCTGACAATATACAAAATTTGTAAGGAAAAAGATCGAACAGATCTTAAGAAATGAATCTTTATGAGTGCTGCTTTAATGAAATTTTATTGTTCGACTGATTTCGCTTAAATTTTGTTTGTTCTGTCATTTAAAATTGACATAGTTTAAAATAATTCACAAATTTACATACATTTTCAAAAATGTTTCGACCCTTACGATATAAAATAATAAATAATAATTAAAAACTGTTTTTTATATGAAATTATCATTGAAAAAAAAGAGTTTTATATTTGTGTGAGAGAAATTTTTAATTAACTCAATAGGTTCTTGAGATAGGTCGAAATACTCAAAAAGTGAATTTAGCAAAGGTATCAAAGCTTTTTACCGCTTACCTGAGCAAACTATTGGGACCAAATTTTCCGAATTGCGAAAAACTCCTATATTTTAGGTGTAAAGATCACAAAACTGTAAAAAGAAGCACGTTTATTTAGAAAAAGTACATTGTGTCTGATTTCGTAACTTAAAATATCGTCAACATTCATAAATTAGTTTATTATCAGTCATTTGATCAAAAGTTATTCATGGTGCTAGCTGTTTTTAATTTTCACTCCGTGCAGTGTGCAAAATAATATGTTTGTTAACAAATGCACTTAGAATTTATTCAGCTCCAAATCCTTTCGGCTAAAGATTTCTAATCAATACTCATTTAAGTTTATTTCATTAATCGTACAGAAAAACCTAGAAACATGAATAAATTCTTTCCTTTTTTACGAATGAAAATTTTAGACAATTTTATTGTTGTGTTTTTGCAGATCAAGAAGGGCAGTTACTTCATTGGAAAGAAGCAAGAAACATGGTTTAGTACAATGAATGGTGGTTTCACGGTGAGTTGATGGTTATTAGATTTAATTTTCGTGTTATAAAAAGCAAAGAAGCTTTTATCTATCTAGTTATCAAATAAATCTTTCTCTATAAGCAAATGAACAATATATTGAATGAATGAACAATTCTCTATAACCAAATGAACAACGTTTGATTTATAAATGTATATATATATATATACAGGNACTCGTCACAAATCAGAAATCAAACCTTTCTCTGCCTAATTGGCAAATAAACTGTTATCCAATTATTAACTAAATAAACTTTTATCCATTTAGTTATCATACAAACTTTTATCTATACATTATAAATAATTTATCTATTAATGATTCAATAAACTGATAAAACTTTTTTATTTTCAAATTAACAAATAAACTGTTATCCAATTATTAACTAAATAAACTTTTATCCATTTAGTTAGCGTACAAACTTTAATGTATTTTATAAGAGTATAAACGTTTATTTATTTAATTAGTAAATAAATTTTCCTAATTAATAAGACTTTATTTCCGTTTAGTTCAACTACAAAGCTGATCGAATCCAACTCAGTTTCTTGCAACTCCTCAGTCAGAATGCAGAACAAAATGTGACTGTTCATTGCAAAAATGTATTTGTTCATAAAGATGCCAAGAAAAGTAGCCAGAGGGCTGCCAAGTTAATGGCTTACAATGACATCGAATTGACTGCAGATGGAAATCCTATGTTCACATATACATCGATATTAGATAATTGCCAGGTGAATATTATTAATTTTATTTATTTATTTTTATTTCAGTTGAGATTATGAAGCATTCAATTTTCACGCAAGAAAATTTCTTCTTAAATGATTGACATTCAGAAATTTGGGAATTAAATTCCGTGTAAAAATTTACAAAGCATTACTCGATCCAACCCCAAAGATGGCATCTTTGAACATGCGAAAGACTGAAACTGCAAGTGTACAAGTCCTTAAAAATATACAGGGTATTTTGTTATGATCACCCTTAATATATATAGTTTAGAAACACTTGTAAAACAGTGTAATAAAAAAAACATGGCATATTAAGTGGGGGTAATTAATACACAGTGAAAGCGAACCAAAAACGTTCTTGAGCTCTGATAAATTACTATTAAGATCCTTACAAGCTATTATTATGGAGTACTGCTATTTTATTTTTAAGATTTACATAAGGAAAGCAAGACGATGACGCCCATCACAACCAACATACAGAGTAAATTAAAATATTCTGCGATGTTGAGGGAAAAATATGTTAGAGAATCCCTTGTCTAGAAGAAATTTTATCAAATACTAGATACTTAAGAAAAAGTTCGATTAATTCTTTGATTTTTCTTCTGTGGATACGACTTTTTCCTTCAGTTATTAAGCAACGGACTTACCTCAAAGTAAATATAGCTTAATTACGTGATAAATTTTTGCGTCACATCGAGTGTTTAAAGACAGTAAATATTNCATCCAGAGATGCCAACTTGCTCCGCTTTGTAAAATAGTATTTCCTAGTGATAGCGAAAGTCAAGTTACTTTCAGTTTAGTATTTTTCCTTTTAAGTACTTTTTTCACCACTAAATATCAAAAACTATAAGTAACATATAAAATGCAACGTTAAGGAAACAATCTACTGGTTACTCTATTAAAAAGTAAGCGTAATTATCCTTCTCCAGCGAAATTTACTACATAATTTGCTACCACTTTATTATAACAATTCGAGAAGACGGAGCAGTTGGCATCGCCAGAGAAGGGTGACATTTTCGGAAGAACGGAGGTGAAAAACAGATGCCACTTTCGACTACTGTTTGCACGTAATACTGCGCGAATTAATGAAACGAAAACTGCTCATTTCCCTGATCGTCAAAGGGTTAAATTTGCTAATTAGTTTGTGCAGACCATATTTTCGGTTACGGAATCAAACACGAAAACGAACTTTCCTTGAATTAATGCACCTTAATTTTGAAAGACTTAGATTCTTGAATCCTCAAAATATAAAGGGTAGCAGCAATCTGAAAAATACCGTCCTAAGTTTAGTCAGAAAAGCGTTCGAAATTCAGAACAACTTAATGTTAATGTCACTTTTAGCGTATTTTGCCATATCAAGGAAATTAAATGTGAAAAAATTTGCGCGCCTTACAATTCACAAATTTTTTGACTATTAGTAAATGAAATAATTATTAAAAATAATATTTTGTGTGGAATTATTTTTGTATAAATTATGTGGAATTATTTTGTATAACAAGCTTTAAAACAATGTAGAAAACCTTTTGAAATTGAAAAAATTTTGCACACAATTATAAAATTTTTTTATTCAAACATAATTTCATGTAAGAAATGGATTTTAATAATTATTTTTCACAATTTTATTTAAAAAGTGTCTGTAACTTTTTGCCTTATAATATTCCACGTTTTATTTCATTGTGTATTGCGTAATTCTAGCTGACAATATACAAAATTTGTAAGGAAAAAGATCGAACAGATCTTAAGAAATGAATCTTTATGAATGCTGCTTTAATGAAATTTTATTATTCGATGATTTTGCTTAAATTTTGTGTTCTGTCATTTAAAATTGCATAGTTTAAAATAATTCACAAATTTACATGCATTTTCAAAATTTTTCGACCCTTACGATATAAAATAATAAATAATATTTAAAAACTGTTTTTTATATGAAATTATCATTGAAGAAAAAGAGTTTTATATTTGAGTGAGAGAAATTTTTAATTAACTCAATAGGTTTTTGGGATAGGGCGAAATACCCAAAAAGTGAATTTATCAGAGGTATCAAAGCTTTCTGCCGCTTACCTGAGCAAACTATCGGGACCAAATTTTCCGAATTGCGAAAAACTCCGATATTTTAGGCGTAAAAAACACAAAACTGTAAAAAAAAAAATCCGAACTGCGAAAAACTCCTATATTTTAGGCGTAAAGAACACAAAACTGTAAACAAAAAAAACAAAAAATCCGAATTGCGGAAAACTCCGATATTTTAGACGTAAAGAACACAAAACTGTAAAAAAAAAAAAAAAAAAAAAAAAAGAACATGTTTATTTAGAAAAGTACATTTTTTTGTCTGGTTTCGTAGCTTAAAATATCGCCACATTGATAAATTAGTTTATTAACGTTTAGGTCTTTGAACCATGAAAATTCCAATCATTAGATCAAAGGTTATTCATGGTGCTAACTTTTTAATTTCCGTTCTGTACAGTGTGCAAAATAATATGTTTATTAACAAATGCACTTAGAACTTCTTCAGCTCCAAATTCTTTCAGCTAAAGATTGTTAATCAATACTCATTTAAGTTTATTTCATTATTCTCATAAATCGTACAGAAATCCCTAGAAACATGAACAAATTCCTTCATTTTACGAATGAAAATTTTAGTCAATTTTATTGTTGTGTTTTTGTAGATCAAAAAGGGCAATTACTTCATTGGAAAGAAGCAAGAAACATGGTTTAGTACAATGAATGGTGGTTTCACGGTGAGTCCATGGTTATTAGACCTAATTTTCGTTTAAAAAAAGCAAAGAAGCTTTTAACAATCTAATTATAAATAAACTTTGATTCATTTAAGAAGCAAATAAACCTTTCTCTATTTAATAAGCAATTAAACTCTTATCTATTTTATAAGTAAATTAACCTTTCTTTTTTTAATTAGCAAATAAGCTTTTATCAATTCAAAAAGCAAATATACATTTCTCTTTTTAATAAGCAAATGAACAATCTATATATATTTAAAAAACAAGCTTTTCTCTATTTAATAAGCAATTAAACCCATATCTGTTTAATAAGTAAATTAGTCTTTCTCTATTTAATAAGCAAATAAAATTTTTATTCACTAAACATTTCTCTATTTAATAGGCAAATGGACCTTATATATATTTAAAAATCAAACCTTTCTCCATCTAACTAGCAAATTAACTTTTATCCATTTAAAAAATACGTGAGCTTTTATGTATTTTAAATGAAAACAACAGTTTATCTATATAATTAGAAAATAAACTTTTATCCATAAATAATAAAGTAATTTTATCTATCCAATTAGCAAATAAACATTTATACATTTTATACATTTAATAAAAAACAAATCATTCAATATTTAAAAAGCAAATCGTCTATTTAATAAGCAAAACTTTGAAAAATATTACATCTATCTAATTATCAAATAAACTTTTATCTATGTAATAAATAATTTAACTACTATTTATTCAATAAACTTATGAACTTTTTTATTTATCAAATTAACAAATGAATTGTTATCCAATTATTAATTGAATTAACTTTTATCTATTTAATTAGCATCTAAACTTTTATTTACCTAATTGCTAAATATTTTTTTCTAATTAATAAGACTTTATTTCAATTTAGTTCAACTACAAAGCTGATCGAATCCAACTCAGTTTCTTACAACTCCTCAGTCAGAATGCAGAACAAAATGTGACTGTTCATTGCAAAAATGTTTTCGTTCATAAAGACGCCAAGAAAAGTAGCCAGAGGGCTGCCAAGTTAATGGCTTACAATGACATCGAATTGACAGCAGATGGAAATCCTATGTTCACATATACATCGATATTAGATAATTGCCAGGTGAATATTATTAATTTTATTTATTTATTTTTATTTCAGTTGAGATTATGAAGCATTCAATTTTCACGCAAGAAAATTTCTTCTTAAATGATTGGCATATAGAAATTTGGGCATTAAATTCCGTGTAAAAATTTACAAAGCATTAAATTATCCAAAATCTATCCAACACCAAAGGTGGCATCTTTGAAGATGCAAAAGACTCAAACTGCAAGTGTACAAGGCCTTAAAAATATACAGGGTATTTTGTTATGATCACCCTTAATATATATATTTTAGAAACACTTGTAAAACAGTGTAATAAAAAAAACATGGCATATTAAGTGGGGGTAATTAATACATAGTGAAAACGAACCAAAAACGTTCTTAAGCTCTGATCAATTACTATTAAGGTCCTTACAAGCTATTATTATGGAGTACTGCTATTTTATTTTTAAGATTTACATAAGGAAAGCAAGACGATGATGCCCATCACAACCAACATACAGAGTAAATTAAAATATTCTGCGATGTTGAGGGAAAAATATGTTTAAGAATACCTTGTCTGGAGGAAATTTTATCAAATACTAGATACTTAAAAAAAAATTCGATTAATTCTTTGATTTTTTTTTCCTGTGAATGCCAGACTTTTTTCCTTCAGTTATTAAGCAACTAACTTGCAAACTTACTAACAGACTTGCCTCAAAATAAATTTAGTTTAATTATGTGATAAATTTTAGGGTCACATCGAGTGTTCAAAGACAGTAAATATTTGTTATTGATCTTGGAGTGACCGCTAACGATGGATCTTTGTCATTAAATAAAAAAATTAATCAAAGAAATATCAAAGAAAGTATATATCACAAAAGTTGCATTGGTAGCTTTATAGATTCTTATGCGCAATTCTAAAATTTGCATTGCGTTAAATAATGAACAATAAAAAAAATATAGTAGTTACAGTAAAAATTCAAATTTTTAAACTGCTGTTCTCTAAGACTTATTAAACTAATCTTTTATACGCTGAGTTTTTAATATGTATTTTTTTTAACTGAAGTGATTTCCCTGCTCAATATATATAAACCACTGAAATATATTTTTAAAAAAACCACTGTTGATATCAGTCACCATTTATTACACGAGGAGTCTTCAGCCGGTGGGGATCGAATCCACGAACTCTTGGACATGGGACCAGTGCCCTACCAACCAGGCTATCTCGGCCTCATTCCAAAAATTTGGAAATATCGATGTAGGTCGATTTTCCATAAGAATCATGCTTAGTTCTTATCATCACGAATGATAAGAACTAGCACGATTCTTATGCCAATACTTCTATTTTAGTCTTCATACATAAACTCTATAAAATAGTAACTAAAAATGGAAATTTTATTGTATATTTGTCTTTTGAAGTAAAGTATCAACATTATAGCAAGAAAAAACAACTATTTCAAATATTAATATTTTTAATGTATATTTAATTTCAGCTGCGAGAAAACAAATGGGCTCAAACGGTCTTACACTATGAAACAGATAAACCACAAAGATTGCCAGTTGTTGATCTATCTCTAACAGACATCGGTGGAAGAAATCAAGAATTTGGATTCGATCTTGGACCTGTGTGCTTCTCTTAACGTGGCATGCCATTTTTGTGATAAAAGTATTTAGAGAAGCCGAAAAGAAAAAAAAAACACTTTTTGCTGAAAACTCACTGTTGCACAGAATACCAAACACTGCCAAATATTTATCATAAACTTTATTTTTGTCGCATCATTTTATTATTTTTTTATAACTTAAAAGGACCCCGTACTTTAATGAGTATTGAAAGGAAAGTATTGATCATCACTCGTCACAAATCAGCTTTTGTTGTGTTTCATTCGAGGCACTTTACTGTAAATCTTGTAATGAATCTGTAATAAATTATAATTTGTTGTTTTTAGATAGTTATTTCTTTCTCTCTAAATTTTAGACATGGAACCCATCCCCAGAAAGCATGTAACCTTACGGCAACCGTGTTTTGGAATTTTCTTTTTATCGTCGCGAAAACGTTTGTATTAAAAACCTTTTTTCAATGAAACAAAAACATTGCAGCTTCAAACCTTTCATCCTAAAAGGATTAAAAATTAATTTTAAAGCTTTTTAAAAAAGCATTGTTACTTAAGGCCTGGTTTCTTAGGACAGGACGCCGTCAGCTGGAAATCAGCGCTAACCTCTGATTGGTCCATTTGTGAGTTTGATAGTATACGTCATCGAACGCTCATCTTGAACTACAATTGCCGTCCAACTCAACTGCAGTTGGATTACAACGTGACGTTAACCACAGAAGCAATGGCGGACAACATCCAACAGCACATTGAAATCAGCCAAGATTTTGATTTTGACATTAAACATAGCTTCTTCATTAA